TTGCAAACAGTCGTGCAGCGTGCTCTGTCGTACAGCGTGCTCTGACAAAGGGAAATCTGGAAATCGTGGAAATTTTAAAACGAGGCTCTGCCGCTAGAAAAGTTTGGCGGTCTGGTACGGACTTGATATTATGTCAATCACATTGTGAGTTACAAAACTACACTGAATAAGTGAGCCAGATAAATTGTGAATCATTTGACGACCTCATCAAACAGGGGCAGCCTGTGACGTCTTTGTTAAGGCCATGCTGCCTACGCTTCGCCATAAAATATAGAAATACGATGTTATTAAAGTTTAAAATTAAAATTAATTTGTAAATACCATTTTCTTATGAAACAAGAAATTGGAATTCAGTGTAACCATAGTTGTTTGTGGTGTCTCTTTTCACTTTCACACGAGCAAATTCGGATCGGCTGAAAAGTATGTCATTGTCTGAATAGGTTAATGAGACTCATGTTTCGGTTTGCAGGCTCGCTCACTTGGTTGACACATGTCATCGATTCCCAATTGCGCAGATCGATGCCCATGCTGTTGCTCATTGGATCGTCTGGTCCAAACTCGATTATTTACAGACCGCCGCCATTTAGCTGGAATAGGCACTATTATTATTATTATTAATATTGCTGAATTGGTATTGTGGTCAAGGGTTGATACTGACAGGATACAATTAGAAACGGTTGATTCTAGAAATGAACGTCCGTGGAGTTGACGTGCAGTTGACCCATGACCTTTTGTTTCCATTGACCTTAGGGGTTAACTCCTCGGGCACCCGCTCGACACCTGACATGCTTAATCTCTGAATATATATAAGTTCAATAGTAACAAACAAGCCTATTTAAATTGAAAAGGAGCCCCAGGGAGACCAGAAATTCCTGAACCTGATTAAATCTAGAATTTGCTTTATTTAGGGCTTTAGCATTGGAGAGAGGGCTAGGCAGTAGGGGAAATAATGTGGTTCAGGGACTGTGAGACAGACTATGGTATATTCTGCTGACCTGATTATTTGGCTCTCTTCATGTGTACTTGGAGTGATTTCCACTAACATCCAACATGAGCCAGCAGGTCAGCAGATGGGCCGTGCAAATGAATAATATTAACTTTCTGTAGGAGAAAACTTAGGGAGCAGTAAAGAAATTCAACGTTTGGTGAACACCATGCAGTCCTTGATCCCCCTACATATTTTACATAGCAGAACAGAAGATGTTGAACATCAGCACAACATTCTTGCCAAGAAATGGTACTGAACTTGAACAATCCTTTGTGAGTTAATTTGGTTTGTCTTCATTATCATTAATATATATTTCCTCAGAGAAAATGTCTCAAGAGTTGATGGTTTGTACAGAACAGAACAGAACCTACTAAAATGCATCACCTTCATAGAATTTGCTAATGAATGTCTATTAGGTCTATTATGCTCAAATATAGACGCGATCAAACTGTAATGGGGTATGTCCAATAGTATGATTGTGTAGAAATACTGAATGGGATAAATATCAGTTTTACTAATATTAAGATGGTAAAAATGCATACAGATTTACATAATACAAATTCATATGTCAATATATATATTCTGTAGCTGCTGTTCATGTAGCTTTGAGGGTAGGTGGGGTAGCCTAGTGGTTAAAGCGTTCGCTCGTCACGCCGAAGACCCGTTTTCATTCCACACATGGGTAGAATGTGTGAAACCCATTGTCTACTGCCCCCAGCCGTGATATCGCAGGAATATTGCTCAAGGCAGCGTAAAACTAAGCTCATTCACTCATGTAGCTTTGTCAGTGCACTAAGTTGATTTAAATTAGTTGAGTTTGAATATCACTGACAACACTCGTTTTCATGAAATGTTGATGGGCTATGGCACAAATAAATTTGCCGCCATAGTCAAGCTGTGTTAAACTAGCCACCCCTTAGTTAATGTCCAGTCATGGGAACAATTGATTAAGTTTACTATTTCGGTGACCCCCGATATCCAGCCCTATGCCCTCGCACGTTTCACACAACCACACACTACAACCCCTCATCCCGTCGCCTGTAAAACATCATCATAGTTGACCTTCGCATCGCCCAAACACATTCATATCCCCATGTCATTTCTTATTCGGGTCAAGTCATCAATCACGTCTCGCTTGGTGGTCGATCGTTAATTTTTCACGCCTGAGGCACACAGTATTGAGGTCCGTCCGGGGCCGGTTAAATTCCACAAAAAAATCCGTACCACAAATATTTCCACTCACGTGGAAGAGCACATGGTAAATGGTGTTCACTAGAAGCAGAGATCATATCGTTATAATTATCATATGGTCTCTGCTAGAAGTCAGTCGGCTGTATTCGGATGGATGAACATAACACAAACGATCCTGCGTATCGTTTCCAGCACATACATACATTAACCTCTTGTCCCTAGTATGGTGATCTGCCTTTAGTTGTTGGCGATCTATAGCCTGTTTTTATATTGTATTGTCCAAATAGTGCTATCAGTTTTAACTTTCCACACTAGATTTAGTTGTAATTGTGATATTCTAGTTGTTTTACTGTCCTTCGTCGACAGGTTTTTATAATATACATATATTCCATTTCAATGTCAAATATGTTCTCGTCACGATATGGCTGAAATATTGCCGATGTGACGTTAAATATTCACTCACTCACTCACTCATTAGCCAATTATCAAATGTGTGTAAAACCCACTGCCAATCATCTAAACACTGCTAAATACTTAGTGAGGAACTTTTCAAATAGATCATGTAACATCCCTGGCACACTTCAAACTACACGAGTGGTAGTGACATGGGACACTGTTGACATTTACACTGGACTAGGTTGTGACACATGATGTTGCTCCTATAACCAGTCGTTGGTTTATGTGATCCTTTCGCGAGTTGTTGAAAGTCGCCGTTGCATGATTGAGATAATGTTGAGTAATCACATAATTATAACCAACACTAATTAATTTAATTGCGAATACATCTCTCGTGTCTTCTCCAGGGTAATGTTAAAATACCAGTCAGTTGAATGTAAACCCAAGTGCTCACGACGTCACTACATATCACACGACATAACTGATTTTTGCAACCTTTTGGAACCTTTCATAATTTATGGCTAGGGGGATGATGATGAATTTTATGAAGAAGCATGTACAATGTGAAAGGTAACCTCCCCGACAATTATGTAAAAATAAGTGACATCCCCTGCATGCTATGTACAAAACCAATACAAACCGTCCCCGTCCCACTTTTTAATCATATAATTTAAATATCTGTATGCACAAAATTGCTGAACCCTAGTACCAACCCAGAAAAAAATGGGTGCCCCACCTTAAAATCATCATCACCCCCACCCCCAACCCCCCAGCCATACATTATTAACGGTCTTAAATAATGATAATTCAGGTTGCTCGTAACCAAGCATCCTGCTTCCGAAACCGACTGGATGCGCAAAATCCATGTTAACGACTTAGTCCTTGCACTTGAAAACGGTGAGTTCACAACTTGTATCAGTATTCTAGTTCTAACACATTTCAGCTAAATTGGGGAGCAAAGACCGCAGGGGTGCAGGCCTCAGACATATATCACTTCGGTGAATCCCACGAACACGGTTATGGCGCTGACATAACTTAATCAAGGTGAACCCAGATTCAAACCCACAAGTACAGGATTCTGGCCTGCCCAAGGGAGGCAACTCTACACAGCGAATTGTGGCGCCAAAGACAAATTTTAAATCGTGCTCGCCCACTGATATATCATGTGACATTTTAACACTGACACGATGACGATGAACACTTAACGCAACCTTAAACTGACTTTATGTACACTTCTACATTTCTTGTCAATAGAGACCGCCTCCGTGGTGTAGTGGTTAGAGCGTCCGCACGGAGAGCGAAAAGTCGCGGGTTCGATCCCCGACCGCGTCATACCAAAAGACGTTAAAATATGGTACTTGTTGGTCCCTGCCGGGCGCTCGGCATTAATGGGTACAACAAGGACAGGTCGGCTCGGAGTCAGTATAATGTGTCTGAGTGGGGTATTCATGCTTCACTGCGGCATGGTATCTCAGTGGGCTAGCACTATAAAACCAGCTTCAGTCTGGGCTAGTACAAGCAGCAGCACATACACATACACACGCATGCAAGTCGTCATATGAGCGAAATATTCTCAAGCCCGACGTTAAAACCCAATTTCACCTCACCTCATCTTGTCAATAGAAATGCCATGAGATACCTTTTTGTTAATATACCACATAATGTACGCTTCTTCTCAGCATGTACGACATTACATCTTGTATACTTTGTTCAGTTCTATATAAGTTGGGGCGCAGGGGGAGCCTAGTGGTTAGAGCGTTCGCTCGTCACACCGAAGACCCGGGTTCGATTCCCCACATGGGTACAATGTTAGAAGCCCATTTCTGGTGTTCCCCGCCGTGATATTGCTGGAATATTGCTAAAACCGGCGTAAAAGCAAACTCACTCACTCTACATAAGTTGTACATTTAATAATGAACCGTTCTTTTTTAAGATACACGTCTTGGGAGGGCACATGTACATGTGTGCAAGTACTCAACACAGTTTTTTCAAGGGAATATTTATTATGTTTTGTGTTAAGACCCGATCATGAAACAGATGAATTTTCAAAATTGTCTGGGTAAGAAATACTTCCCGAGAGTACAACATCTGCCAACGTTTATGTTTAACTTAAAAGATTACATTCGTGACCACTGTTATTCTTGTCATTCTGGCGTCCTTGGAGTTTACCGCAGGAGAGTTGTGACGGATGGAAATGAAGCTCCACACAAATAGCCAATATAATCTGTATGACAACTTATCAAATAAAGTTGAGCGGTAATCGAAGTAACATAAATGCATTGTTGAAGTCCTTGCATACATGAAATCGGGATTTAATATATTTAAAAAAGTATTCTGAAAATGTGCATACGCTTCGATATTCATGACGCTTTCCGTTTTTTTTAATTTCTTTTCTAAATGCAGATGTGAATCTCCTGTAGAATGCTGACATAGAAAACTGGCCTGGTCACACAATAAACCTTTAAAACACAAGTAAGTCTGGAAACACCGGAACAACTCAGTGTGGCATGCACATTGAAACTATCAGCATCAGCACGCGGTATACATGGGAATCCGGAATTTCTCCTACATACGAAGCCACCGAGCAAGTGAACACACGTTGCGTGTTTCGGCAAGGAGGATAATGAACCCTGAAACCACAATGTCCAGGTTAGTTACCATTTCTGATATCTTATAGCCACATGAATAACGGTGAGATACCTGAGTGGGTGGATTTCTGGAGTACCCTGGTTGAGTCTGTTTCTGGATACAACGTCTTCCTGAGAGGGTACGTACGTGCCCAAAACTTTCAAAGACAATTTCGCTCAACCATACTTTTTAATCGTAGTATTTTTGTTTTTTAAATTTCGGCTAAATTTTCCTACCATCGCCAGCGGCTGAAGGGATGGTGTAAATCCAGCTAGAGTCCATGCAGGTATCAAAAGTAATGTAAGTCCCCATGGTCCCTAGTATGGAGATCTACCTTCAGTTGATGGCGATATTTAGCACGTGTTGTATATTGTCTTCTTTAATTAAAATGTTTTAGTTTTACATCCTAGTTTTATAATACATACATACAAACATTTGTATAGCGCCGATATCCAGTACAACTGCTCAAAGGCGCTTTGTATTCCCTTGATCATTGGATATCCATCACAACGGCACATCGTATTTTTCAATCTCAACTCCCTGGGGAGCATACAACTCTTGCTGCCTACCTGGCGCACCGAGTTAATGTGGCTTTTCCATCCTTACGAGGTACCCATTCACAGCTGGGTGGACTGGGACGCATAGTCACAGTACTTTGTCCAAGTTTTACTGCACGTTGCTGTACCCGCAACTAGGTGTTTGCACGTATTTATGTGGCCACCATCTGGTCATATACCAACGGATTCGTGGGTTCTTTTAAGTGCACAGGGTTGTGACAACACTGAAAGAGTCTGCACACGTTGACTCCAAGGTTTTTTTTACACCCGGTCACAGGTGGGCTCGATCCCAGCACCTCCAAGCTCGCTGGATTACTAGCCTGGCGCCTTAGACAGCTCGCCCACCGCGCCCCGTATATTCATATCTTTGATACTGTAGTATTTTTACTGTCCATCGTCGACAGGTTTTACTCTACAAAATGTTTTTATTTTTGATTCAATTTGTATAAATTGTTTCCGTCACGATATGGCTGAGATATTGCCGATGTGACGTTAAATATTAGCTCACTCACTTACTCTGGATAAAACGCTTTTACCAGTGTTTCAGCGGGACGGAGTGGGACACCAGAAATGGGCTTCATACATTGCCACCAAATTGGGTATCGCTTGGGAGCTTCATCGTAATGAGCTAGCACAGTAACAACTGAGCTATCCCATCGTCCATGAGGGGTATGACCTCTTGAGAGGTTCTGGTCGAACAAAACGTGGTATAAAATAGTAAATCTGGTCCTGCATGTAATGTAACGCAGGGAAAGCAGTCGCTCTGACCACACATTTCGTGGACGTGGAGAAAGCATGATGACATAGTGGGGACGCCGGTTATCAGAAAAATATTACTATATAATATTATGTGGAGAATATAATATCGACGTTGACAAAAACTATGCATTCATGGCATACGGTTAATCATTTCAAATAAATTGGGGCATTTTGACTCACTCACTCACTCACTCACACACACACACACACACACACACACACACACACACACACACGAACACACACACACACACACACACACAGAATCGTTCAGTGGGTGGTATTAGTAAACCTCACAGTTTCCATTTCGAAGGCGATACATGATAAACTACAAACAAAACAATAATCTACGCTAGACTATAATCTATGCCAAATGATTTTGCGTAATCACGTTTCGCACAAGTAGGTATTACGTCCACGAATAACCATAATCACAAATCATCAGGGTCGCATAAATATATGTAATCGAGTCTGGGCCAGACGTCCTTGTTATTGACATCATTAACACAAGCAGCCACGAACACAATTAAATATGAACATAAGATGACATGACAAACATAAGTGGACATGACAAACATAAATAGGCATGACAAACATAAGTGGACATGACAAACATAAATGGACATGACAAACATAAATGGACATGACAAACTTTGACATGACAAACGTAAGTGGACATGACAAACATAAATGGGCATGACAAACATAAGTGGACATGCCAAACTTTGACATGACAAACGCAAGTGGACATGACAAACATAAATGGGCATGACAAACATAAGTGGACATGCCAAACTTTGACATGACAAACGTTAGTGGACATGACAAACAGGGACATGACAAACATAAGTGTACATGAAAAACAGGAACATGACAAACATGTACTGACAAACATGAACATGACAAAGATGGACATGACAAACATGGACATGACAAACACAAGTGGACTTGACAAACATAAGTGGAGGACATGACAAACATGGACACGGCAAACATGGACATGACAAACATGGACATGACAAACATAAGTGGACATGACAAACAGGGACATGACAACATAAGTGGACATGAAAAACAGGGACATGACAAACATGGACTGACAAACATGAACATGACAAAGATGGACATGACAAACATAAGTGGACATGACAAACATTGACATGACAAACAGGGGCATGACAAACATAAGTGGACATGACAACAGGGACATGATAAACATAAATGGACATGACAAACAGGGACATGACAAACATGGACTGACAAACATGAACATGACAAAGATGGACATGACAAACATAAGTGGACATGACACACATGGAGATGACGAACATAACTGGACATGGCAAACATAAGTGGACATGACACACATGGACATGACAAACATATGTGGACATGGCAAACATAAGTGGAGTAACAAACATAAGTGGACATGACAAACATAAGTGAACATGGCAAACATAATTGGACATGACACACATGGAGATGACAAACAAGAGGACATGACAAACATTAGTGGACATGACACATGGATATAGCAAACATAAAGGGACATAACAAACAGAAGTGGTCATGACACATGGATATGACAAACATGGACATGACAAGCAAGTGGACATGACAAACATATATGCACATGGCAAACCTAAGTGGAGATGACACACATACGTGGACATGAGAAACATAAGTGGACATGAAAAACATAAGTGGACATGACACACATGGAGATGACAAACATAAGTGGACATGACAAACATAAATGGGCATGACACATATAAGTGGACATGACAAACATAAGTGGACATGACAAACATGGATATGACAAATGTGGACATTAGAAACATAAATGGACATGACAAACATAAGTGGACATGACAAACATGGAGATGACAAACGTAAGTGGACATGACAAACATATATGGACATGACAAACCTTAGTGGAGATGACAAACATAAGTGGATATGACAAACATGGCCATGACAAACATAAGTGGACATGACAAACATGGCCATGACAAACATAAGTGGACATGAACACGTCAGTAAACAATGTGTTGAAGATAACAAGGGATGGTGAGATAGCATAGTTGTTAAAGCGTTTGTTCGATTACCCACATTGGTAAAATGTGTAAAGTCCCTTTCTGGTGTTCCGGCCCTTTATATACTACTGGAATAAGGTACAGCTTGTTCAGCTTGACCTGAGCTACTCTACATATACATGTCCCGGAAGGTCAAATGGCACAAACGGCAGGTCGAGTTAACTTCATTAAATAGGGGAGCTTTTTCCTTTCTTGTTCTATTCGGCCCACGGTTGCACTGGAAACACCAGTTCCTGCTGCTGCTCGCTGCCTAAAAGCCCGGATCGGAACACCATCTGTAGCTTCTTTTTTAAAGAAAGTTAGGACATCGCTGACGATTTCTCGACACTGAGATGTCAAACGGCGACCTTGTCTCGGCTGTTGGGACATGTTGACAATCAACTGACAAAGTTGTACCCCTCACAATAATAGACCCAACCAGTTGTGACACGGTCACGCAGTGCGTTACTATTCACTTGATCATGTGATCATCTGATTTTCTATAAGCCGTGACATGACGTACTCGCATTTTCGTTTGAAATTAACATGTTTTCTACAACATTCAGAGGCGAAAGAATAATCAGCCGTACTTCAATTGTCGATATCAGATGTGTGAACTTCAGATGTCAGAAAACTTGCAAAAAAGTGATTAAGTTCATTGCGCATAAAATTTCACGCAAAGCGCTTTGCTACATGTTTGTTTAGGGTTATTTATATAATTTTTTAATAGTTGTTTTATGCAATTTTATGTCATGCACAGTTACTTTTTAGCGTCAGTATATATTCTGGAATATTGCTGAAAGCAGCGTAATACCATACAGAGTGTGAAGGCAACGGCGACGAACACAAGTATACGTGGTTATCTGATTCTCATGATATTGAGTGCGGCGTGAAACTAAACTCACTCAATCACTCATGTGATTGACGTGTTTATTGCACGTTGACAGTGAAGTGAATTTTGACATCGAGTTGAGGCAACAAGGGGAATCTGGGTTAATCAGACAGTTGTGTGTTTTTGCGGTTCCTAAAAATAGGCAAGTTATTCAACAAAATACAGAAAATGTTATAATTTGATATTAATGATTCGAATGGCAGATTCGCACCGATCGTGTCTTTAAATTTGTCAGCAACATACATGTACAGATGCTTGCTTGTAGCACCAAATGATAAACTTCTCAGGCCTTAATCACGTGGAGTTCATTTCAAGCCCACACAGGGTGTCACGCAGATGAAACACCCGTTACAGCATCATTACGTATGCTTATTTACTTGACATACGTATTTCTAGAGTTTACACGTTTACATAAACTCCAGATAAGATACCCTGGCCACTTTATGTAAAGACGTGTTAAGAGATCGTACTTGTATAAACATGGGTAAATAAACACAGTATCAGAAATATCTTACAAGTTATATGTTATAGGAAATTGTAAACATTACAACTAACACAGTGTCAGAAATATCTTACAAGTTATATGTTATTGGAAATTGTAAATATTACAACTAACACGGTGTCAGTAATATCTTACAAGTTATATGTTATGGGAAATTGTAAATATTACAACTAACACGGTGTCACAAATATCTTACAAGTTATATGTTATAGGAAATTGTAAACATTACAACTAACCGACCACGTTCCACTATCTGCCAAGGGTCACACTGATGACGAACATCGGATTTAATCCGGGACCAGTATCTCGTATTGTGCTGTTCAGATTGATTTAAGCTAACAGATCCAATGTGCATTACATTTATCTATATTTTCGGCTATGTTTATCATCCGCTCTGATCAAATCACATGTACCACGTGAACCATGAACAGCTAATCTAAGTCATAGGGTACTTAAGTAGTGTAATAATATCTTTATAAAGATGTATGACATAATACTGACAGTTAACTTATGTTCGCAATAACAGCACTATCGTCAATAAATCAGTAAATGCGTTTTATTCATATTCATCAGTTTTGATTTCACTCTTATGTCATGTTGTCAGAAACCTCTTTTGATATAATAATCTAATTAGGAAAACGATGCTTTGGTATAAAATAACATCACCTTATGAAAATTGGCTCCCCAGTAACTCATAAAGAAAGTTATTTGGATAAACATTATTGGTATGCTATGAGTTCACAAATCTTTCCAAAGTGATGTTGGTAACATTTGACTTATCTTGTGTTCAATTTTGTGCTCTTGTCTTTACATAATGTACTAAAACCCATCGGCCGTAAACATAGGATATATCTTTCTCACCTGTGACATACATCGAATGTACCTCGTGGCGGTGACAAATGAGGCCCGCAGTAACTTGTCTACGTGCACGCATGGTTTCCTTTATGATATTAGAAATCATGGACCTGTGAGGGACAGCGAGGAATCGGGTCATCAGGCCGCAGAGAAAACCGCCAGCCCAACATTTACAGTCAGCGGGAGATATTCACGCGGGGTACATACAGTGTCTTTCACTCTCATGTCATAAACTTCTTTGATTTTCATTCTAGAAGTTGGGTAGATGAAGAATGAGGACTATTTTTATGGATATACAACTTCTTTATTCTGTATAGGCGACGTTTCGACATAAAGTTAACGGTACCTTAAGGTTGTGCTTAGTTATGTGTTGAGTCACTGTTACAGTTTCAGTACACTCATACTCAACCGACGGTGCTTTTACAGAAGGATGAACTTTGACGACGTGTTGAGACAACTGGGGGAGTTTGGCCCGTACCAGAAATGGCTGTATATACTTCTGTGTCTACCAGCAATACCCGGGTCTATCCAAGTCATACAGGCAGTTATCTTTTTGTTTGCCGTTCCTGAACACAGGTAAGAGAATTTAGATTTTTTTATTTCGCTGTTTCGAATCCTTGGCGCCCTGTTTATGATTCCAGAATTGTCTCCGCGATGCCTGTGCATGTTCGTTTCGGCTAATTGGACAACTTTTAAGACGTACGTCACTTTGGGTTTTCCTCCCTCATCACCGTGCGACCATTCAGCGTTAAAGCCAGCTCACAGACTAACAAACTGAGCACTACTTCCCTATGTAATGTTTCTAGGATACATATGTATTTGGATAGGTCAGATAATTTGTACGTTTTCAATGACAAATGTATACCCCAAAATTTGTCCCGTTATTTACTTCAAAGTTAAACATATGTATACTCTACCAGAAACGAAACGCACTGCGATTTGCATATTTCGCCTAAAATGATTGATAAAGGTACTTATTTCGCAAAGTTACTTTTCAGTGCATTTTCGTGTGGGTTACATCTCTCAGAGGCATCGTTAGGATCTTTACTGACATTTAAAGCAGATTTTTCGAAACTGTCACGAATAGAGCGCCAAAACGTCCCCATTCGAATTGTCTAGAAACTAACCGTACTATGGCCAGCATTGATCTAAGGTATTTACAACATCAAGCATGCTGCTGTCGTGGGTATATACTAAGGAAGCAAAAGTGAAAACAAAGTGTTTTTCTCGAACTCAGAACTAAGCATATGTCGTCAATGGGACTGACTGTCATTTGATGCCTTGCGACTAATCTAATGATGGTAGACACATGACAGTCAAACTGCCTCGCCATTGCGGTTGACGTTGATGAATCCTAACATGTTGCCTAGATCCCAACTACGCCCCCCCCCCCCCCTTCACGGGCCATGTCAATCAGTGGTGAGATTCGGCTTTCATTGACATTTAGCCATCTTTAAAAATTAAAAGAGATCATTTTTTTATCTTTCAATTCTCTCATATGTGTGGGCACGTCGAGTCTTGTCATAGGCACATGAAGACGGCATAATGAAATACGTATATTTTTCTCAACTTTTAAAGCACAAGGCTTAATTTCAAGATTAATTGTGTTATACGTACATTAAAAACTGATTAAATGAAATGTTTCCTCGTTTTATTCACAGGGCTTACCATGCTGACGTCCAGCTTCTTACATTTGTGTTCTAAGAAGCGAGGACAAACAAATTTGCAATGTGTTGATGAAGGACACTTGTTTTTAAGTTATTACATATAATTGAATAACACCATAGCGTATAGTTTTAAAACGTGTGGCCTTAAATTTTACTGTGCTCATGTTGCAGATATTTTACTTTATTAAAGTTTTATAAACACATTTAGTAATTTCTTCTGAGATATGAAAGGCCCCTGTACTGAAACAGAAAGTAGACATTTAAACGATCTGTAAGATTCATATCGTGTACTTTCGTCTAAATTCGAATGGCAATTTTGAAACAAATATATTCATAGAGCGTTCCTGAATCCATTCAAAAGATATACAAACATTACCAACTGTCTGGGACAACCAGACAATGCCATAACCGTATGAGAATATAATGTTTCGAAAACGTGAAGCCTCTGTTACCTTACCTATAGCTACTGTGTAAGAGCATACTGTATGCTATTTTCGGTAGACGTTGTTCATGCATGTCCAGAAGTTTAACCAGAATTTAAGGCATCTAATTTGTGAATATATTTGTAGTGGATATCTAGCACATTCATCATATACCATAAAGTGCGGCATAAAGGGTACAATTGGTTGTATTTGAGAATCGGACAGTTTAGAAAAGACATTTGGAGTGAGAAAATACCAAACTAATATATGTGTAGGAATTAATAGCGTTGACAGGCTTTTCTTGAAAACTCCATTTTCCATGCGTAGATGTAGGTCCACTACTCCTAAATACTACAATCTTATTTATTTTCCAAATTTACCGGTAGTCCATTCGTTACTATATTTTTCAAAAATATTCAGTTAAGTCTAAGAACAGAGTCTTATACTGATAATACATCGTCAGCAAAGAGAAGTATTTAGAAGTTATGCTTAATTAATAATTTCAAAGTACAATTCATTGATGAAAAGGGAAAACAGAATAGGACTAAGCACGCATCCCTGACGCAGCCCATTAGGACACTCAAAATAGTCTGTGAGATCATATCCACAATGAACACATGATTTAACATTTGCATACATAGCCTTCAAGATGGAATACATTTTGCCCCTCGGGACAACTTTTGTGATACATTGCCACAATTTAGAACGATCAACCAAGTCAAGCTTGTTTAATATCTACAAAGGCTACATATAGTCACAAATGTTATAAAAGAGGAACGTGCTATTCTGCAACCATATATCGTGTCATGAGGGTCTATTACCAAATTAAGATGTTTGACATATCACAATGCGACCCCTGGATGACTCTAACACTGTGGAAATAATGCAATTTTAGTTGAGAAGGGGATGTTAAACAATTTGATTCAAATTTTTAAATTGTTCATTTATTATGATATTTCTTATTGAAGCATTTTTTTGTTAATGTTAATTAGTATGGTAATACTATTGTGATATTTTCTGCCTTTTCCGGTATCATGGCAGATATTTAACATGTTGTAACACACTGACTGCAATAACACACTCACTATGGTTCTTCCAATCACAGGTGCGCTATTCCGGGACTTGCAAATGACACCTACGAAATTCAGAATGACTTTCACGAACAACTCATAAACCGCTCCATTCCCATGACATCAGCTTACTATGGCGATGAGAAGTATTCTCGCTGCCAACTGTATCTACAAACCAATACCTCCAATATCTGGCCTTCTACAAGTAATATCACAGAGCCTTGTAATGCCTGGGTGTACGACCAATCACAGTTCATATCCACGATTTCAGAGACGGTAAGTTGTAAACCAAGAAGCATAACTTCTCCCATATTCAGATGGTTTAGTTTGGAACTGAGTGAAACTACATCAACAGATAACACTTTGTGTGGAATTGCGTCATGAATCAGTACAGAACAAAACCTTTATTTCGCTCAGTCCGGGATACTCGGCATAAGAGGTACAAATATACAGTACATAGGAAGGCGAGATGGTTTATATGGAAGATTGTACAATTTTCTTGATGGTATTACAGAATATACATATATTTTTAAAGCACTAATTTGTTATACAGTTAAACAATTCGTTAAATGTTAACATATTGGGCTTTTTAAACATGGTTTGGGATATAAGTTTCCTGATGATGTTTGAAGAAATGGCAGAGAAATATGTAATGAAATTCATCGCCAACATCACACGTGTCGCAGAGGTTACACATTCTTTCTTCGGGTGGGATTTTGTGCCACCTACTTACTTCTATAAATAAACGATGGCAGGAAGTTTTAAACAAGAGGAATTTAAGAGCCAAGGATAAAGGGATACATGTCAAATATTTTTCAACAACATGTTCAGTTTTGAACATGATAAGTGGTACCTTAAGAAGAATTCGAAATCAATGATAAAAAGATTAAAAATCATTAATAGTTTTACTGTGTATGCCTATTATGGGTATCACCACCTTTAGGGAATGTGTGTGGGCGGTTGTTATTTCCTTTGTGCAACGAATCAGTCATATGTGTATCACATTAATTAACATTAACAGGTCCAATCAAATCTGCATGACTGATTGCACTGTATTCGTTCCAGCTGGATTTTGTCTGCGAGAAGAGGTCCTACGTGAGTCATGCCAAGATGCTTGGTATGTTTGGGCATCTGGTCGGCGCTGTGATTAATGGTCCATTGTCAGACATGTGAGTGTACATAACGGATTGCATGAGAGAGGGAATGCATTAATGTTCTTTCACGCTAGTCAACAATATTCCAGTTCCTTGAAGTTGATATGGCCAAATGTGGATCTACAAAAAACAGGTAGCATGAGTCCATTGAGTGGGTATGTTTGTATGCGTAAGAGCAGACTGAACAATAATTTGTTTTGACACCTTTTACAGGAGTAAAATGTAATTGGCAGACCTTGCAATATAACTTTGCTATTTTCTGAAACAAAAGAGAAAAGAGTAGAAAGTAGCCGATTTACAGTGTTTCCGAATCAAAAGGTAAGAAGTCCTGTCCCCCTAGCCGATCTAATCTTCTCTGAAGTACAGACATATACTGATCCTGTAGAGTTTCAAACAAATGATATTTTCGTTGATATTAATACGCTTTCGTTGGATCCAATCTCCACACGTTTTGCTCCTTAACGGAGGTGCTTAGGTCATTGAAGAAAGACGAATGCACACAATCATTGCCCTATAGGTGGATTATTCCACAAAGTTTCAGTTACCTTCATCCATTATGAATCTTCAATATGCAACCTATTAATATCCAAGATAATTATTTGTATCCCAATAATGATAATGGTTTCCATATTACATATGACACACTTTTCATTACTCGACAAAATTATCGGGTTTCATTGCGGATACTACTATAAGCTGTGATGGTGAATGGTTTGTCAGATTATATTGGGTTTTTTTCTGCAGGTTTGGAAGACGACCGGTTATAATCTCTAACATGTTCATCCTGGTGCTGCTCAGCATCTGTCTGGTGTGGTCCAACTCAGTCCCTGTGATCTTCATCCTTGATTTAATCATTCACTGTTGCTCCCTGGGACAGTACCTCGTTTGCTTCGTATTTGGTAAGGCAATGGCCTATTTGGATTATCGCCTGTAGATTCACAGTCTTCATCGTGGATCGTCGCTGACGATTTCAGTCACAGTTTATTTACTTACAAGTCGTAAAATAGTAGAAGTCAACTCAGATAATGCACATGAGATACTGATGAGGCCACCTATGGCAATAGTATTATATCTCCGCATTGTACAACTAACAATGAACGTTGACCTTGTATGTTACAAACAGGAATGGAAATAGTGGGTCCGTCTAAGCGTATGTGGGCAGGAGTTGCCATGAACCTCTTCTGGAGCGCGGGGAACATGGTGTCAGCTCTTACAGCCTATCTCTTCCGGGACTGGAAGACTCGACAGCTGATTGTCAGCATCCCGGCAATTCTCTTTGTGTATTTGTAGTAAGTATATGACTGTGAATGGAAAGTTATGCTAGATGTAATTTATGTATTATGCTAATGAACAGGTTTCAATTGCCTTAAAATAAAAATAAGATACGGACATAGTGCTGATTTCGAGGTATAAGAAATATGCTCAGTATCACTGCTCTCAAACAAGGTTATGTTTATGCACCACGCAGTTTTATCCCAGAGTCTCCAAGGTGGCTTCTTAAACATGGAAAGAGGGAAGAGGCTAAAACCATAATGGCAAGTATGTCAAAGAAGAATAAAGTTAAACTAGATCCAGATATTCTTGATGAGGTCGATATCGAAAAGGAAGAGGTACAACAAGAACCATTCTGGAATCTCTTGAAGTCATCAGTGATGATGCGGCGAATGATCATCATCTGCTATAACTGGTACGATGTTTAGTAGATCAGACACACGCGTGGCTTTCATTTCAGTATATTTACAATGTTGGAAACATATACATGTATTTCAATGTTAATGTTAGGGTCTGTTTATTATCGGCTACTTCATAACGTGGAGATGTAAGGTAGCCTAGTGGTTAAAGCTTTCGCTGGTCACGCCGAAGACCCGGGTTCGATTTCCAACATGGCTACAATGTGTGAAGCCCATTTCTGGTGTCCCCTGCCGTAATATTGCTGGAATATTGCTAAAAGCGGCGTAAAATCTAACTCACTCACTACTTCATAAAGTGAGATAAGTGGTTAATAACAACATTTCCGTGGGAAGGTTCATTACAGTGTTGACAGTCTTACCTTGTTGTCTGTGTGTCCACAGCAACGAGTGAGTGAGTTAAAATTTAAAGTGACATCGGCAAACGTTTAGCCACATCAACGAAGACATTAAATTTTGTACTTATTTCCCCCAATACTTTTATAATTTTGAATAGTGAATCTAGCAATAAATGAAACTATGTTCATTACTGAAATTCCTTCTCTTCACTTCAATATATTCCGTCTTTCAATGGCCCTGTAGGTTTGCAGTTGGAATGGGTTTCTACGGCCTCAGCATGAACGTCAACAACCTCGCTGGTAGCATCTACCTCAACTTCTTCTTGTTCATCACCGTAGAGGCTGCTGCATATGTGTCCTGCTTTTTCCTAATGGATCGTATTGGCCGCAAGTTGTTGCTGTGTATATCGATGGCACTTACAGGGGCAGCATGCATTCTGCCTTTGGTCCCAGTCCTGGTTTCGGATACACGTAAGTTTCATTTCGAGAATTCACACACATTTATATAAATGGACGTGCGAAAATACGTGATATGGCATTTGTAGAATTGACAAATATACATATGTAAATGCATGCATGTCGAGAAAAATGCTTCGTCACCTTTAACATTGCTTACATTGATCACATGTGTAGTTAATTTGAAGGTGTAACATGAGGAAGGACCTAAATATCTATTTCAACGTCTGTGCAACATTTAAGTTAATGTCGATGACAGCAAATCCAGTGTACTGTCTCTGCCTCTATGTCCATTAGCTGAGAAATGGGCCATCAATATCCTCGCTATCATCGGAAACACGTGTGCCTCTGCTGCCATGTGTAGCGTCTACACCTTCACAGCTGAACTCATGCCGACCACGTCAAGGACATTTGGCATGTCAATTAGTTCTGTGTGCTGTAGAGTCGGAAGTCTACTCTCTCCATATATTGTTGACCTGGTGAGTTGTGGGAAACCCGTGTGATTGTAAGTCTGGAGCTAGAGAAATAAAATGTCCCAAACATCGATGATATTTGATGAGTTGGAGGAATCTTGTAAATGTGGAACATGAAAGGCTTAAGATGGAGTGATTAAAGATAGGAAGCGGAGCTATGGATTAACAGCATGACGTTACAGGTTAGCTGGAAGACATTAACTGACGAAAGATTGTTTAAGAACAAAAGAAGAACTGGAAGAAGTATACATGAAGTGTGAGATAAATGTGTGAGTTATGAGTTAATGTGTGGTATACGTGTAGTTGTGAGACAACTGTATATAGTCAGAAATCTGGGTCATATTGTGTCTACTTAACTTTAATTCACTGGCGGACGTTTACTTTAACTTGAACTCAACATTAATAAATACCAGGTGGCCCTTGTTATGCCCTGTACATAATATCGTCTGTCATTGTCATGTGTTTACATACATTAACATTAACAATAACCATAGCAATGTGTTCAACTAAGTCTAAATCGAAACCAGTGCCACCGTTTGGTATCTTGACGCCATTCTTTGAAATAACGAACTAACATGTATCACCACATTTCAGACACTGCATGTATCAGGGCGGTTTGGTCAGATTCTCCCAATGCTGATATTCGGGGGTATCACAATCCTGGCGGCACTTCTGGCTCTGCTCCTCCCGGAAACGCTGAATAAGAGGCTACCGGAAACCATCAAGGAAGCTGAGATGCTCGGGACGTAAGTATTCCATCATGACAATCACCCCAACATCAGCATCAGTCTTATGCTCAGTTTCTGTAGCTGAATCAGTATCAGACATGGAAAGTAATTTTGCAGTTTGCTCTGCGCCTGGTCTTCCTTTTTGTCTCCGAAGATGTTCACTCCATATATGCAGTTTCAGTTCAAATTGCCTATTGAGTGGGTGAGTGAGTGAGTATGGTTGTACGCCGCTTCTAGCAATATTCGAGTAATATCACTGCGGGGGACACCAGAAATGAGCTTCACAAATTGTGCCCATGTGGGGAATCAAACCCGGGTCTTCGGCGTTGCATGCGTGCGTTTTAACCACTAGGCTACCCCACCGCCGAATTGCCTATTGAAATAGACATAATAAATATTACCATATTAATTGGATTTTCCCTGTTTTATTTGCAGAAATAAAACCTTACCGTGTTTATTGTCCCGTGAATCGGAAATAGCTTGTAAAAGAAAAGACCATGAACAGATATACTGTAATTGAGTTTTCATGCAAAGATCGGAATAAATTCTATCTATGTTATTACATCGTTAACATTTTATTCCATTATTATCATATTTTGTTTGCTGTATTGTATATTTTAACGACTATAAGCATAGAGATTTGTAACGACTGACTGCAATCGTCGGATATTGTGTGAGATATCATCAGTCACCATAGATATTACCCTGGGTCCAGATCCACAGAACGTTCGTAGCGATACGACATTCGTAAGCCTATGATAAACTATAGGGTTACGACAGGATTAAAGTTACGAACGCTTTGTGGATCGAAATGTCGAATATAAGGTGTATATATATATATATATAACACATTTTTATCCATTCTAAAGGGACAATTCTAAGGGGGAATCAGATGATGGTTGATGGAAATCACTCACGATTTCGCTGAAATTAATCAGTACAATTTTGAATGAAATTTTGAAGAAAATGAATATAATGGATTGCAAACGTCAGTCTACTTATACAATTAACTCCTTTTGTTGATAGTATGTGTAATAGCTGGATTGAATAAGACACATGCTTCCCTCTGTATATCAATATATAAGCATGGCTGTACTGTATATATAACATGAACACATTTATGTACATTTGTGAAGTACCTTGTTCGTTGCTTACAGGAGCGCGTACGACAAAGATGTCACAGGCACATCTCCAGTTGAACTAATTCCACTTGGATCTGAGGAGAAAGATGGCCAAGCTGAAAATACATACATAAGAAATGACGTACATGGAAAAGATCCAGTTTCAAAAGATGGTTTGCTTGCGTGAAGAGAAAACATAGCTGTATATAGAACAGTATAAGCTTCATCTGTTTGTCAATGTCGTTATACGTTTATGGAACGTATGATATCTGAATCTGTGAGTGGAACGCAGAATCTGTGTGTATAATTGTTTCCTGCACTTAGGGAACTCAGATGGCAGCCTCTTAATTTCTTTCACTTCACCGGGCAATCCTTCAATGCCCTTTGCTACAGCAAATAGATTCAAGCATCAGGTGCACACATTACAATGAAACGAGGTTGCTTGAGCTTCATCTTCTGAAGAAAACGATTCGTGTGAACGTTTTTTTAAGTGGGGGTGCTATGGTAGAAAAATATGATTCACCCTCCTAGCTCCCCACCCACCGTGGAGCGTCAGCAAGGACGACCCCTCATGCTTTCTGGGTCTCCAACAATCGACACCAGGGATACCAGGAGGATATACTCGACCAGGAAAATATCTCGAAAAGATAAGTCCTACCGGATTGCCCCATGAACAACCGCCTTCTGGCATAGGACTATCGGCACGTTAACAATTCAATAATTATGTTTTCAACAAACATTTCCATGGCTTGGTGTGACCAGCTGTTTGATAGGACTGGGCCCATTCTCAGGTCAAGCTCGACGTGGTGTATTGAGCAAAGGACAGGAACCAGTGCACTCAACCACCAGAATCCCGTCCTCCACCGACAGCCATCAGGTTGCCCATTTCGGTCGCCTTGTACGACCATAAATGGGCTGGTGACCACCTATTGTACCCCGGGTCAACACGGGGAAAGAGCTATTAGCGTTACCCAGCACTTACCACGAGGAATGTGCTCTTCACGATTTCCTATTTACCAAAGAAAATGGCTTCAGGAATTGTTTACAAACAACATAGTATAGCTGTAATAATGCTGAAATATAAATATACTCATGATATAGTCACAATTGTACAATCGACTGGCTTTTATTAACTTTTCACACACACACGCACATAGATGTCGCTATGAAAGTGGAATAATTTTATACATTAAGACGTTAAACATCATTGCACTTCACCTCCCTTTATAGCCAAATATTTGTGAATCGTACATTAACATTGGTTGTTTAATCGGATCAAGATACACACCCCATCCATGGCTCACACAGAGTTATAATATTCAATATATTTCTACACAAAATGTAGCTTGGCAAACCATCAATGCTAGTTATATGTATGTTAATAAATTATGCTTTTAAAGGTCAGGTAGTACGGAATAATACATAATAATTGTTCTTTATTTGGTATTTTTCATTCTTGGAATAAAATGAATCATGTCTCTGTGTGATGTACATACTGAACGTGTTTTATCAGCAACAGCTGTGATTATTCCTTTTTTTCTCTTACATTTGAACGTGTATATCAAGAAGACACACACACATACGAATAAGAATCACCAACAACTGTGAACATTCCCTGTCGAGTTTCAGTCCACAGTTTGACCTGTGAGCATACAGTGACAGTTATTCTGGGAATGAGTTGATGCCTTCCGCCATCAGATGTGAGTAATTATTAATGTATAGCATCCATTGCATTCTGTATTGTAAGACTTTGTTTATGAGACTGGGTTTTGTTTCATAATAAAGCAGGCTGGACATTCGAGCGTCTGTGTGAGAGAGTGTTACTTTTATCCATAGGGCAATCACACCACACCGAGGAGAAGCTATTTCCCGTATGTTATTATGTTAGAAAATGAACGTTTATCCGAATCACACATTAAACAAATGTATTTGGCCGCCAAATTTGTACGCATTACAGTCAGTCATATTGTGACTTAATCAAGTTATACAGTTTTGCGACAATTTTGAACAATACTTTTCATACTAAAACGATGGTACAATAACTAGATGATCACAGATGTTGGTCTAAAACTAGCACGTCAGTATTAAAATGTGACTATTCATATCAAAACCACGGCTACAGAACACCAGGTACTCCCAAAGTTAGGACACCACACCATAATTCTGCTACCTGCATGGTACCCCAGCTGGACTATCACTCTGGCTAAGGGCAATACGCAGACTGTGAAACCAACCAGTTAAACTAACAGAAATGGTACTCTTAAAACCTCGCAGGATAAAAAATACTGTCACGGTACTTACCTGCCTTCTTCGGAGGACAATTATTTTACGCTGTTTCAGCTACCTTTGAGTATGGGTTAGTTACGCTTTACGGCGCACTCAGCAATATTTCAGCTATATTGAAGCGGTCTGTACATAAACAAGTCTGTACCAGACAATCAAGTGATCAACAGTATGAGCATCGATCTACGCAATTGGGATACCATAACATGTGACAATGATAATAATCAGACATGGTAGAACCCACGCGGCCTTGAAATTGTCATTCATTTGGAAAACTTTAAATTGAGGCAAACGGCCTTGGAATCCAAAGTCATGTAGATCTTTTAAAATACCATACCTTTTAAAATTTCCATGTAGTGTCATATATTTTTTCCAGATCGAAAAAGATAGACGCTGCGTATTGTTTATTAATAATGTCATGAGAAACGCACTAAATGATCGACGGTACTTCTGTTTTTGTGGAAAACACATTGAATATCTGTTATTAGGTTATTGGTAAGTACCAAATTAGTCGATTATTTATCATGCGTTCTATATTTTTGCAAACGCATCTAGTTAGTGAAATCGGTCTATGAAAGGATCAATATGATCACGTCCTGGTTTGGGGATGGGAACAATTATAGCATCACGCCGTGAAGAAGGGGAATTTCCACAGTGGTCCAAATGTCATCAAAACTATTTAACAGGGTCTCTAATCATTATACTGGTTAGTGCTTCAGGAGTTGACAATGTATGTTACCAGCTCCTGTAGCAGTATTGGGAGCCTAGTCAAGAGCAGTATGGATCTCATAAATCGAAAATATTTCGTTGTAATCTTCCCCATTATTTGAAGTGAAATGAATAGTGAGTGAGTGAGTTAAAATTTAACGTCACCTCGGCAATATTTTAGCCATATTGTGAAGAGAAAGGTTAGATAGATATACGTTGTTAAATAACCAGTCATCGAAGGGCTGTAACATGACTAGAGTATCACAGATGGTGTTTAGAAACTAGCATGTAAATCTAAAACTATCTTATTTACGAAGACAATACAATATAAAACAGGCTTAATAGGTCGCCAACAACGGAAGATAGATCACCATACTAGGGTCCACGGGGACAGTGAAATAAATAGATTTCTGTTCGTGCTGTTTTTAGTCCGGCAGCCAAATCCACTTTTTGGGCACAACCTTGCTTTGGTGTCTATAGTAGTTTTTTTGGTGACTTTTGCTTCTCAAGACCATCTATTTAGAGAAATGTCTAACTGGACCTCCATCAGCATTGAGCATTATTGTGCGTAGTTGCGAAATATAATTAAACCGAATTATGTATATATGCAATGTATCTATTTTTGTTGTCTAGTTGTACAATCTAGCTTAAAATTTACAAAATTCCCTCAACAACAACAACAACAACAAAAACACATTTCTGTACTTCCTGATGATGTCGTCACTTAAAGCTGGCCAAACCCATTTAATTTTTGCTCTATAAGTAAGTACATTAGATGGTGGATGCATGCTTGACTAATAATACTATTAATATTATACAACCATGTTGGTCAGGCTTTTTCAAGGCTTAGCCAAGTAAGTTGAATTATATGTGTGTGGCTATATTTTAATTTTAAAGAGGAATGGGTAGCATAATTAAGTTAATAGCTGTAAGTCTTCTTTGATTGGCATTCTAGCTGGGTAGATGGAAGGATGAGGACTATTTTTATGGATATACAACTACCCTATTCTGTATAGGCGACATTTCGACATAGTTTCTAATGTCGTTGTCAAGCACGTGTACTTACAGCTATCGAAGGATGAGGACTATTTTTAAGGATATCACGCCGAAGCCCATTTCTGGTGTCCCCCGCCGTGATGTTGCTGGAATATTGCTAAAAGCGGCGTAAAACCAAACTCAGTCAGTCAGTTTTATGGATATACAACTTCTTTATTCTGTATAGGCGACATTTCGACATAGATTCTAATGTCGTTGTAAAGGAAATGGAGTCCTGTTTTGATTGGAAATTTAAATGCAATGATTACCTACAAAGTAAGGGACTCATTAACATTAAGGCCAAGTGAATTCAGAACATTATTAGAAGTAGTCAGCTGTACCAGGATAACATTCATGAGAAACTGCAGCCCCAGTTTGAGAGTGATTCGAGTATCATCCTTTAAGCCCACAAGATATGCATAGAAAAGTACCTTCATCCTGAGGAAGTCCAAAAGGCTGCGAAACGCCATGCTTGTGATGCAGATGTGGGTGTACCTGCTACAAAAAGAGCAAAACAGTCTGAACTCCCCAAAATTAACTTTAAGCATCACTGCATTGACTGTGGGGAAGAATGTCAAGTTAAAAAAGATTGACAAAATCATTCAAGATGGAGGCCAGCTTATATTTGCACACAATTTGTAAGAATGGGACATAAACAGTCATTGAAGCAAGAAATCCTTGAGAAGTGTGACGAACGAAGTGATGAATGGCCGCCTCAAGTTAGAGTCAGCGTGTGCGGAACTGTTAGTGATGTACGTGCTGCTGATGTACGCTATCACAAAAGCTGTCATATGAATTGTATGTCTCCAAAATCCACAAGTGCTGCTCTAAGGGCGGAACGCGAGGACCATGAAGATATATCATTGCAGGTCGTCATAAGTGTATTAAATGAAGACCAATAAAAAATCTGGAATTCAGTTAAAGTGTACACTTTATATGTAGAGAACGGACGGAATGACCATTCTCGCTGTTTGCTTGTGACCAGACTTATCTTATCCAGGAATAGCTACTATTTTGGCATTTCGAAGTGGTGCAGCCAAGGCTCTACGTGTTATCCCAGATGAAGATGATGACGACATTGATATATCAGTTGCCAGACAAATGGAGGATTACACTTTCTTAGTAAAGTACAGATTCTAGTACTTTTGGGGTTGAGTCCCATACAAAAAGTACTAGAATCTGTACTTTACTAAGAAAGTGTAATCCCAAATATAACATATGTTACATTTGACCACTTTCTATAAAATGGCATTGTGTATTTCACAAATGGAGGAGTTTGAGAGAAAACTGCCTTATGGTTTTTATGGCAGCATCATAAAATGGCGTGCTTACAAAATAAGTTCAACACAGTTTCGTTATTACTATCAGACATAAGTATGCAAAACAGTACAAAATTGCAATTCTTAATGTATTTCTGCGCAATATATTGTTGTCTAATTTCAGTATGCAATGTACATTTAAAAAAAACATGGAATTCATCTTCTTTTACATTTAAGTTGCAAAATTTACAAATCCTATCTTCTTTGGGTATATTATTTCTACGTCCGATATCTACCTGTAATTGGGCGCCTCCAGTTCTTAGTAAAGCTAAGTATCGTCTCAAATTTGAAAGTTGGAAATTTGTTACTCATTTTTCTGGGAAAATATTGTGTCTATATAAAGAATAACTGTCGTATCTAGCACTCTCAGTTATGATTGACTGCCACTCTTGTACACAAACATCTTTAAGTCTCATCTTTATCTCGTTCAAAAATAATTGACAATGTCCAACTTCTTGATATACCCATGCGTATCCTAGCCCAAGTTTGAATAATGATTCTCTAATAAATGATACCCAGCTAACCCTTTTTTGTATATCTGAACAAAATATCATATTATAAGCTTTTTGGGGATGTCTATTATCTTTCATGTGTAGTAATGATAACCAATAGCTAATGCATCTAATAAATGTTTCTACATAAATTGGGAATCTGCCACATTCACCAGTAACCATTACATTTGGTGTATTACTCGGTACTCCTAAAAATCTTTTACAGGCTGTTGTTTGTATTCGTTCTAAGACTTCAAACTTTTGATATCCACACAATTCTGCGCCGTACATACTAATAGGTTTTATCTTCGTATCGAATATTTTAAAGTACAACTCATGGGATAGATTGCCTAGCAATTTCATTGACCTCAGTAACTTATATAGTGCAGCTTTACCCTTAATACAAACACATTGGACATATTTTTGCATGCTTAGATTATATGTAAACAAAACCCCAAGATATTTATATTGTGGAACTATTTTAACTAAATCATTACCAAAGTAACATTTTTCACATTTTCGTAGACCACCATGTTTTCTAAACACGACAATATTAGTTTTTTGTAAGTTAACTTGCAATTTCCGTTTTATACAATAAGCATTCAATGTATCGAGGTGTCTTTGGAGACCAATAACTGTATCTGAAAAGAGTATTATATCATCCGCAACAAGTAGAATGAGAAGTTTTATATATTCCGGGTATAGCTGTATCCCTCAGTGACCACTAATCTCAAGAGTATATATCAATTCGTTTATATATACTGAGTCAAAAAAGAAACTTCACATTCTTTCTTCAGGGTACTATAAAAGAACAAGAGATGGTAAGATGGTTAAATTGTTATTATTTCATTGCTGAGATCTGTGTGATGTACTCGATACACTGACAGTGCCATAATCAGTTCCATTAGGCTACACCGCCGTTCCAAAACATGGGTATACAGAATGTCAAGTCACAAGATTAAAAATGCGAAATTTTTCAGTTCAATATCGTGTATGGCCGCCCCGCGCATTCACCACTGCCAAACACCGTCTCCTCATCGACTGCCTGATGCTTGTGAACACGTGGTTGGGGATTCTGCGCCATTGCTCTTGCAAGGCAGCGCCAAGTTCCTGCAAATTCTGAGGTTGGTTCCTAAGACCACGAAGCCTTCTCCCAAGTGCATCCCAAACATGCTCTATTGGATTAAGGTCAGGGGACCTCGATGGTCAGTTCATGATGTTGATTCCAGAGTTTTGAAGGAAATTTCATGTCAACATCGCGGTATGCGGCCGAGCATTATCATGCTGGAACTGTAGACCTAGGCCATGAGCCGCCATGAAAGGAATGAGTTCAGCGGTGAGCACCTGGTCGCGGTAAGCAGCAGCTGTGAGGTTTCCACGGATGACCAGAAGTCGGGAACGGTTGTTCCCACAGAAAGCACCCCACACCATGCAACTTCCGCCCCCGAATCTGTCAACTTCCTGTACACAACATTGGGCATACCGTTCACGACGTCGTCTCGAAACTCTATGCGTGCCGTCCGCGAATCTGAGGGTAAACCTGGATTCATCGCTAAAGACGACTCGATTCCAGTCTCTCTGGGTCCATCGGAGGACACGTTGGGCCCACAGCAGACGTTGATGAAACGGCGTCAATATTGGCCCACGATATGGACGTCGAGAATGGAGATTGGCAGCCCGCAACCGATTTCGAATGGTCTGTGAGGACAGTCGACCTCTAAACATCTCAGCCCTGGTTCGTGTAGCCGGCAGAAATCTGTCACGTAGGTGACGTAGGACGATTTGACGGTCTTCTGCTCGTGACGTCACACGTGGACGACCCGACCTTGGGCGATCAGAAGTGGTGCCAGTTTGTTGTAGACGACCTCGCAAGTCATACACAGTACGACGGCTGCATCCCATTGCTCTTGTGACATCAATAACTGATCTTCCAGCTTGCAACATGCCAACGGCATGTTCACGTTGCACATTTGACAATCGTGGCATTTCAAGTACCGTTAGAACTGTGGTTTAAAAGTGTTTTTTCAATTCTTGAGGCCAATGCGAACACGTGCATATGAAGAAAACTTCGATGCGAAGATTACGTGATCGACTGCACGTGCAAAACCTGATTTGGCACTAACGTCATTTGCACGACGAATGGATGGGTTCGAGTGGGTTTTGCTAACGTTTTTCTAGAGTCGAAAGATCGGGATCCCATTTCGGATACATAGATGTATCATCAGAGAAACATTATTCATTATTTTTCAAATTACATTTTGTGAAGTTTCTTTTTTGACTCAGTATATAACGAAAACAGCAAAGGGCTCAAGACACACCCTTGGCGTAGTCCTATGGACGATTCAAATAACTCTGTCAAGGAATCATTAGACTTAGTCGTAAATAGCCCGTAAAGCATTCAAAATGTTTCCTGATAACCCTATCTTATTAAGTAATATAAGTAAACGTTTTCTATTAATAGAGTCAAATGCTTTACGGAAATCTATAAATGCAACATAGAATCTGCCTTTCCGTTTAGATAAATGTTTTTGGATAAGAGCATTTATGACAAAAATATTGTCTGTTGTTGAGTAACCTTCCCGAAAAACTGCCTGTTCTTCTAATATTTTTACAAATATCACGTGAGCTATCACCTGTACCAACTGCATTATTCAACGACTATCGAGAGATGCGAATTTCCAAGTCAAAGTCAGATTTGAAAAACCTGACCAAGGTGGATGTCTCAGCTAGATATTGAACACCAGAAGCAACCTGCACTGTAATTGATGGTTGGGCGCTCCTCTGGATTCCTCAGTGGCCTCCGTCCTTCTCTACACAAAAGCCAATAGTAATGGATTTTGTGAAGACATTCAAGCATCATATACAGGAGAAGCTGAAGTCTGGTGAGATATATTTAGTCTTTGACAGATATGAAGAATTCAATACAAAGTCTTCCACCAGAACCCCCAGAATGGCAGAAGGATGTAAAGTATTTCAGCTATGTCCCACATCACCCTTGCCCTCTCAAAAAGACTCTGACTATCACACAAAACGAAAAGCAGTTCATAGACATCATATGCAAAGATCTTCAGAATGATACAGAATTTCACCAGAATACGGAAATGCACAAGCTCATGATAACTGGCCACGAGGAGCCGATAATATCATTGTGCAGCAAGGCATACAGGTCGCAGTCAATGAGCAGAAGCATGTGATTATTCTTGCAGACGATACAGATGTGTATGTCCTCCTACTTCATCACTACTTGCAACAAGGCTTAGAATCACCAATGGTGATGGCATCACCTATTAAAGAGAGAAGGTAATTGATATACATGCTACTGTGGAGAAGCATCGTGATATTCCATCCTTTTTGGCTGGTCATGCTCTATCTGGCTATGACACTGTGGCAGCATGCTATGGAGTAAGGAAAAGAAAATGCTCAAAGTGCTGAGAAAGAATGTGTCTGTGGACAAGATAGGCAACATTCAAGCAGATTGGCCTGATGTGATGGCGCAAGCGACCGGATTCACAGCTGAATGTTATGGACAGCCAATGGCTACATCCATGTCAGAATCAAGAGTTAGTGTATGGAATGCTCAAATTGGGAAGCCTGGACTAACACGTCTTCACAAGCTTGCCTCACTGCCACCAACTACAGAAGTATTCACTGAGAATGTCAAGAGAGCTCATTTGCAACTCTTTCTTTGGAAGAATGCACTGCAACTTGATCCTCAGAAGTTGAAGTGAGTGAGTGGATTTAGTTTTACGCCGCTTTTAGCAATATTCCAGCAATATCATGGCGGGGGACACCAGAAATGGGCTTTACACATTGTACCTATGTGGGGAATCGAACCTGGGTCTCCGGCGTGACGAGTGAACGTTTAACCACTAGGCTACCCAACCGCCCCTCAGAAGTTGGAAGCCACAGACTATGGATGCATGAAGGAACGGAGTATGAAGTCATTGCGGCCAACAACAGTACCTGCAGACACTCCCCTAGCTCCCAGTAAGATCTTACAGATGATCAGGTGTTCCTGCTCAAGTGAAACCCCATGCAAGTCTTCAACATGTGGATGTAACCGTGCGAAACTATCATGCACAATGTTCTGTGCTTGCCAGACTTCAACTGCATGTTACAATAAACAAACAGTAACATCACAAAAATTACATTGCCATTTTGTGCGAATCAATTCTCATAGTTCACTTTTTAAAGAATATTGTATTGCAATCGCTTTAACTAATGGCAGCAATTTTGTTGTTTTATTACTTATCTAAAATTGCTCAATGCTGACAGATGTCCAGTAAACTTACCCTTGATATTGGTGGTCTTAACAAACATAATCCACCAAAAAACCTACTATAGACATCAAAACAAGGTTATGTCTACCGGCTGCCGGACTATTTTGATACTTTTGAAATCGAGGTTCATAATTAGTAGAGGAAGAATGTCTTGCCAACGTCTCACCAAGTTTATTTGCAATATGTGATTATCAATAACTGGTTCCAATCTTTTCAGAGGTAAATACCTGATCTAGAGCCCTTACCCTTGATTTTCTGGATCATATTCAAATCGACGTACGTGCATTGATTAGATACATAGTTTCGCCAAGATTGGCGTTACTTTGTTTAAAGGTATGCTGTGCTTTAGCGTTTAAACGCTTCAATTTGTTCAAATTATGGACCTTAGGGTGGCAACGGAAATAATGCTCCACCTTTACCCTTGCCTTCCGCGCCTGTTTGCAGTCAACATTAAACCATGGTTTTCGTACATGAAGAATTGCAGAGGACTTTAGTTCATCAGAAAAAAAACAACATTTTATAGCACCAGGAACATTACTACAAGTTCAGGTTTAAGTTTTTCAGTACAGAGAGTTTCAAGTAAAGGCCAGTTGGCCTTTTTAAAATATACCATCTTAGTGATGGAGGAACATCAGATGGGTTCACGGGTTTCAGTATTGTTGGGAAATGGTCACTTCTAAAGAGGTCATCGTTGACTGACCATTGAAGTTCACTCAACAGGTTCGAATCAGTGACTGACAAATCAAGAGCTGAATATGTTCATGTGCCAGGATGTAAATATGTATTTGAACCGTCGTTATAAATGCGTAGATCATTATTTGAAATTTAATCCTCCAGTAATGTACCTTTGGTATTTGTATTACTACCGCCCCAGAGTTGGTTGTGACCATTATTATCCCCACGATTATACAGGATTAAGCTCATGAATCAGATCATAAAGGGCTTATAGAACAGTTAACTGGACAGCAGATAAATGAACCGTGAGTAAATGCAACTTGTAATGACAGTCGCAGTGCTACGGGTATGGTCGGACAAATCCATGTCCTCAAGGGATCCAGACTTATTAAATATATGATCGGGTTTTTCACCCCTTTTGGGACTCTACCACTTTGTTACTTTTTAGATGTTTCACTAGTCCATTTGCTTTCGCAGTTGGTTTCACATTTGTTTTTGGGTTTCTTGAATGTTTCTTAGATGTCAATGCATCCATCGCAGATTATGTCTCAGATTGAATAACACTTTTTGATATGGTCATAGTTTGTGAACGGGAGCTCACTTGTGGAGGCTTCGCCTTGACTTCAGTAGACAGCAACGTGGGAGCAGAAGTCCAAGCCCATGTGTGTGTGAGTGAGTGAGTGAGTGAGTCAGTGAGTTATTATTTAACGTCACATCGGCAATATTGCAGCCATAACGTGACGAGAACATATGTGACATTGAAATGGAATAGATGTATATTATAAAAACCTGTCGACGAAGGACAGTAAAACAACTAGAATATCACAATTACAACTAAAACTAGTGTGGAAAATTAAAACTAATGGCTCTATTTGGACAATACATTATAAAACCTGGCTAAAAATCGCCAACAACTGAAGGTCGATCACCAAACTAGGGACAATGGGGACTTACAGTACTTTCGCTACCTGCATGGACCCTAGTTGGATTTATATCACCCCTTCAGCCGCTGGCGATTGAAGTCAAATTTAGCCAAAATTAAAATGACAAGAATACTACATTTAAAACAGCTGGTAATATTTAAATTTCCTTTGAATGTTTCGGGACTTACGTACCCTCTCAGGAGGACAATAATTTTATGCTACTTCAACCCCCTTTGACCAAGCCCATGTGTAGTCTGTCTGGCAGCCTACAGAATTATATGAGGCCTGTTTTGGTTTTGAAGCCTGAATAGATGCAGAAACAGTGGTAGAGTATATCGGACGTAGCTGTTCTTTTGCAAGAATAATCTGTTTTGCTTCTGTGAAGGGAATATTTAGTTCATGTTTCACTTTGGATATTTTCGATTGTAGTTTCCAGGTAGGACAAGCTTTGGAGGAAGAGGGATGGCAACTAAACCAATTTACTCAGCTAGGAGTAAGTGAGTGAGTTATTATTTAACGTCACATCGGCAATATTTCAGCCATATCGTGACGAGAACATTTGACATTGTAATAGAATATATATAGTTATTATAAAAACCTGCCGACGAAGGACAGTAAAAATATTCGATAATCACAGATATCAATATAAAACTAGCGAACAAAGCTAAAATATTCCAATTAAAGAAGACAATACAATGTAAAAATGGGCTATAGATCGCCAACAACTGAAGGTAGATCACCATACTAAGGCCCATGGGGGCTTACATTACTTTTGCTACCTGCATGGACCCTAACTGGATTTACACCATCCCTTCAGCCATTGGCGTTTATACTGAGATTTAGCCATACATTAAAATGACAAAAACTACGATTAAAAACCTGGTAGGCTGAAATTAACTTGAAATGTTTTGGGACTTACGTACCCTCTCAGGAGGACAATAATTTTACGCTACGTCAACCCCCTTTGAGGGCACAGCCACTAACAATCTAAGTTAACAATCTGAACTACCAATCATTAAAATACATCTACTTACAGAGCATATTAATCAAAATGAACAATGAACAGTGTTAAAAAGATCCTTAACAGTTTTAACATTAAAATATTTATCCCTTATGATGGAGAATTCGACACAGTCAAGCAGGAGATGCTTGACTGTGACTTTCTCATCACAAGGGATACAAAACGGAGGATCTTCACCTTTCAACAAGTAGTTGTGAGTATACCTTGTATGGCCAATGCGACATCGTCGCATAATGACCTCTTCAAATCTGAACTGACAACCCAAGTGAGTGTAACCAATATAAGGTTTTATTTCATGTAGTTTATTAATACCTACTTGAGTGTCCCACTTCTTCTGCATCAGATCACGGATGTAAGTTCCAATGCAAGCTTTGTAATCAGAGTAAGGAATAAGAAGTGGTGTCACAGATTTGTTGAGTGCTGCCTTAGCAGCAAGATCAGCCATTGTGTTCCCAGAAATGCCAACGTGGCTGGGTAACCAACAAAAGACGATGTCGCATTGGCCAGTAGCAAGTTCATTATACAATTCAATAATTGCTAATAAAAGTGGATGCTTACAAGAAAGATTTTTAATAGCCTGAAGACAAGAAAGAGAGTCAGAAAAGATGATATATTGTTTGGGATGTCGTTGAATATATTTAAGAGCCGTTAATATGGCGTTTGCTTCTGCTGTAAAAATGGAGCTGTTATCTGGTATTCTAGAAGATATTGTTCTGGATCCAATGACCGTGGCACATGACACCGCGCCACCGTCCTTGGACCCATCTGTAAATAAGGATTTGTGTGTATTATATTTAGTTTTTAGTTGATTATATTCTTGTTTATATTGTAATTCATTAGTTTCAGATTTCTTAAACTGTGTCAAAGTAAGGTCAACTTCAGGCCTAACCAATTGCCAAGGCGGAGAAGAAAGAAAACGGGAAGGAGCTATATGTTCTAGCTCAATGCCAGCAGCAGAAAGAAAAGGTTTCACTCTTATACCAAGAGGCGGAACAAGAGAAGGCTTATTGTTATACAGATCTTCATATAGTGGATTGAAGACACAGTTATATGCAGGGTTTGACTCATTTGAATAAAGTTTTGTAATATACTGTAAAGTTAATTTTATACGGCGTTGCGTAAGAGATGGATCATCAGCCTCGACATAGAGGCTGTCAACAGGTGAAGTTCTAAAGGAACCAAGACATAATCTTAGACCTTGGTGGTGGACAGAATCTAAAAGTTTAAGATTACTGTTGCAGGCTCCACCATAAACGATGGAGCCATAATCAAGTTTGGAACGTACCAATGATCGATATAATTGTAGGAGGGTAGCTTGATCCCCCTCCCCACTTAGAATTGGAAACGACTTTCAACAAGTCAAGTGCCTTCAAGCATTTAGTTTTTAGGGACTTGATATGGGGAAGAAAAGTTAGATGCGAGTCAAAAATTAAACCCAGGAACTTGGCCTCCTTTACGACTTTGATGGGAGTGCCATTGAGAAACAGTTCCGGGTCTTTATGCGGTTTATATTTTCTACAAAAATGTATACAATTAGTTTTGGATTTAGAAAATTTAAAGCCGTTTTCAAGACACCATTTATGTATTTTATTTAAACACAGCTGCATTTGCCGTTCAATAGTATGCATATTCTTACCGCGACAAGAAATATTAAAATCATCCACCAAAAGTGATCCATCAATTGAATCGTTTAAAACCTTTGATAAACTGTTAATCTTGATGCTAAACAGTGTTACAGACAAAATACTGCCTTGTGGGACTCCCTGATCCTGATTATAATGGTCAGACAGGGTTGAACCCACTCGGACTTGAAATTGCCTGTTATTTAAAAAAAGTTGGATATAAAGTGAGGCAAACGGCATCGTAATCCAAAGTCATGTAAATCTTTTAAAATCCCATGTTTCCATGTTGTGTCGTATGCTTTTTCTAAATCAAAAAAGATCGACACTGCATGTTGTTTATTAATTATGGCATCCATGTATCCGTCATACCGAGAGAATATTGTTAAGTGTGTCTTTACAGAAAGGAAAAAAACACACACATAAAACCCATTTCCTTCAGAATCTTAATTTCTTCAGTATTTTTTTGACAATATTATTACTCATTACATTATGAATTGCGGTATTGCGGTTTCGTTACAGATTTGGCCGCAAGACTGTCATTGTCGTCAGCATGTTCTTTACCACAGTATTGAGTGTGTCGCTGACTTGGGTCACCAGCTTCTACGTCTTGATCCCTGTAGTCATACTGATGACGGCGTGTTCAGGCACTCAGTATCTGGCTAGTTTTGTCTTCGGTGACCGCTTTTCTTATAATTGTACTCACTGCACTTTGAATAGGCACAAAATGAAGCCCCTGGTACAACTGGTCGTTTTATGATAGCGTTCCAATCTTTGGGGTACCTTATTCGAACCCCTCACCGCGAGGGGTTCGAATCACTCATGCAAAGCCGTGTGCACCCTAAATCAGTCACCTACCTTCTCCACTCTTTTCATTCTAATGCCACAATCTGAGAATAGGCTACGGTGCGCAGCTTCTGGTTGCAAAATACTCTCGAATTTGTTCTATTATATTTTCAGGATGTTTGAATATTGTCATGGTTAACAAAATGTCAGATTTCAATTTAGCTACATTGGTCCAACGCACTTGCGCTTTCATTGCTGAAAGCTGCCCAATAGCCAACTCGACCTGTGAAGATCCGGGTTAAAGAGAGGCCTTCAGTTACCCATCCTTGTTGTAAGAGGCGACAAACGGGATCGGGTGGTCAGGCTTGCTGACATGGTTCACACATGTCTTTTGTATCCCAGTTGCGTAGATCGTTGTTCATGATGTCAATCACCGGATTGTCTGGTCCACACTCGAATATTTACCGCCGTTAAACAACAAACAACGTAATACTCAACTCAGTTACTTCTAAAACGACAAATGCTTAAAATATATATTCATAATTATTGGTTCTAAAATTGTTTTTGGTTCAAGAACGTTGTTGTTTTTGGATGAAAGGTCTTGAATTGGTGGGTCACTCAAAGAGAATGTGGGCGGGAGTCGCCATCAACTTCTTCTGGAGCGCAGGCAACATGATAGTCGCCCTTGCTGCCTTCCTCCTGAGAGACTGGAAGACGAGGCAGCTGGTGCTCAGTGTGCCGTCCTTCATTTTTCTATATTTGTTGTAAGTACCTCAATGTTGGCCAGTGTGTATCCTAGACCCAACATATGCTGCTTTTATGAGGCAACTACATGCATACTGATTAAAGCTCTGTTGGTGATATTTGGATGAAATGGTCACAATGGTCAATGAATGCAATTATCCACATATTCAAATCTACAGCTATGGGAAATCATAAAAGGAATTATTATGCGATGAATAATAGATGTGCATGTGAAAATATATTTGTTCATTAACCACATCTTCCTTTCGGATGTTCTGAAATAGTGCCAAATGCAGATATAAGTCAAACTTAACAAAAATAAAGAACTTTTGCAAAGATACTATGCATAACTATGATTTATGACTTTTCAGCTTTATACCAGAATCTCCCAGATGGCTACTCAGTAAAGGCAAGAACGAAAGAGCAAAGACCACATTAGTGAAGATAGCTGAATCAAACCGAATTACTATCAGTGAACTTGAGTTGGAGAACATCACAACAAAGGAAGAATCCAAGATGGAATATTTCTGGGAGCTCTTTAAATCACCGACCTTATTACGAAGATTACTGATCTTATTTTTTAACTGGTAAACATTCAATAGGTGTCTACAGTCCTACAACGCCGCGTACATTTAGAAGCTGAAAAATGGGGTTGCAGAAACCGATAGTTTATCTTCATTTTAATTATTACATAAATGTGATGTTCAAACAGATAGCTTAGTCATTCAATTTGATATGTACATCAGTGTATTCCAAATATATATACCATGTACATTGCACCTCAAATAGAATTACTTCTTAGGTTTGCAGTTGGAATGTGCTTCTACGGCCTCAGCATGAATGTCACCAACCTTTCTGGCAACGTCTACCTCAACTTCTTCCTGTTTGTCTCTGTGGAGGCGTGCGCCTACGTTTTGTGTCTGTTCTTGTTGGATCGAATGGGCAGGAAGTGGATGCTCTGTGGCTCCATGATAGCTGGAGGCGTGGCTTGTCTTCTATCCTTCTTTCCATTTCTAATCTCAAACAATCGTGAGTGTAAAGGTTTCACTGTTTTACCAGAGTTAAGTGTTCAGATAAAACGTACATGAGTGGTACGTTCTTACTGGCCCTGTATAATCAATATGTTTGTCATCATTAAAAGTTCATTCCATGTAATCGTAAAAGAACCAAACGTTTGAAGGCTACCCATGAAACTTTTTTTTTTATTCATTATTTTTTCAAGTAGAAAATGTTTTGCATGCGCAGCCGTATTGACGTTTCCAGAAACAAACGAATGCATGCAATATATTTAGTGGGCACTCTAGTACAATCAAACCTCGACTGTTTGTTTTGTCGAACTTACAGAACTTACTTTTCAAAGTGAATCTGAAAATAGTTGACCGGTTACGTGATCAAGGAGATGCACATTTTCCCGTAGTTCCATCGCTTGGCCCAGTTTTACGAGGGGCGTTCAACATATTTTGCAACTTTAAAATAAGACCAAGCCGCAGAAATGTTTTTGCACTTGTATTTTTCAGTATAATTCTATTCACCTCAATACACGTATTATATTTGTCCTTCAAGCTTTAATACCACGTTTATAGTAATCAGCAGATTGGTGCTCTAATGCCAGATCGCCTCTGTGGCAGCCTTTATGTCCTCGCCAACCTGGAAGCTTCATCCTGGCAGATTTCATTTGCTGGAAAAGGAATTAGTCACTGGGGGCTAGATGTGGGCTGTAGGGTGGGTGATTTAACTGTTCGAATCCACATTCACGAATGGTGGCCTGTGAGAATCTCGACTTGTGAACTGGAACGTTGCAATGCAATAGTAGAACACCACATGTTAACATCTGGCGAATAGATTTTCGCTAATCTTTCATTAAATTAGCATAAAACTGCCCATTGTCTAAGTTTTGGTAGCACTTAATCAATCAGTAATATGCCTCTTGCATCCCAAAATATGGTGGCCATTACCATGCCAGCTGATGGTTGAGTGTGAACCTTCTTCGGAGGCGGAGAAGCGGGGTGCTTCCATTGCATGATTCAGTTCTATGATGGCAATCTTGAGCATACCTTGGGCATACCACGATGCTCATGAATAATGGTTTCAACAGTTCCAGCTGATATTTAGAATTCCTTAGATAGTTCAGACACTTTCATTCGTCGGTCAGATAAAACTCTTTTTAAAGCGGCTATGGTTTCCGGTTGGGTGGCATCTGAAGGGTGGCATCTGGAGGCCTTTCTGACCTTGGGTCATCGTCTATGGACTCCCTACCCATTTTAAAATGTAGAGACCAACGGGAAACTATGGAATTGTCAGGAGCATCCTTACCCATCACTTTACACATGCGATCATTTATTTCTTTTGCTTTGCGTCTCTTCTTGGTAAGGAATTTTATTACAGCGCGTTGTTCATGTTGGAGAGAATCCATGCTTGTGATCACCCTTAGGTGAATGAAGCCATCATATCTGACTTATTGTTGTGTCTGGAACGTGTTATGACACGTGTCAACCTGATGTTATGACTAGTGTCACACCTGCCACAAGTTGACATTGTTTGTGTAATCACAAATGCCCAAGTTGCAAAACAAGAACAGCACAAAATGGTGTATCCGTGAATCGGGGACACACAGTTACAATGCTTTCGCTTCGAAATACTTTACGGTAGAACGTCACACAGTAACCTTTGAATATTTTTAGCCAAGATTATAATTCCTGCACCAGTTAACTCCAGATTCAATGTCGGTCAAAATGACCGCTTCATGTTTATATTTATCCACCCATTTCAGTGATTGTAGAATTGCTGATATATAATCATGAGGCCTGGACACATGGGCGATAGTATAATAAGAGATCCAGAAAGCTACGGCAGTACTTGAAGCAATCCTTGGAGGCGTCAGTATTAATGTGTGTAAAATCTGCATAACGTTCAACGTTTTGTATAAACTCAGTTCATACTAGAATCCTGGGCCTAGATTTTCGAAGCTCTCTTAGCACTAAGATAGTCGTAAGTGCCATTCATTAACATTAACTTACGACTATCTTAGCGTTAAGAGAGCTTCGAAAATCTAGGCCCTGGCTTAAGTAGAAGCCAAGGAACAGTTTTAGAAGGTGTACTTGGATCAACTGGATTTAAGTGAACAACACCATATTGTGCCATTTTCCGAATGTTGAAACCAAATGGGATCTCACACATGAGATACTCTACAGTCGTTAGAATGAGTGAGTTAAAATTTCAGGTCACATCTTCAAGTTTACAGCCATATCGAGACTAAGAAAGCTATATACTCACAAGAATTAACTTAACGATATATAGTTATCTCTCAACAAAGGACAATTAAACAGCTGCAATATCACAGACATAGATCTACAACTAACATGAAATTATAACATATGACTATTGAAAACAACACAATATAACACGTCACAATTTAATTCTGGACTCACAAAAGTCCAGAAACTCTCCGCACTGTGGGCACTTTCTGACAAGGGATTTGACCAAATTAAACATGCAGTTGTTATGAATATATGGCAAGGATGAAAAATTGAAATCTTTTTTCGAAAACTTTAAATTGAAACTCGCTCGCCCATGGGCCGGCCCATTGGCGAGAATGTTTAATTTCGATCAGAATTCATGCTTTGGAGGTTGTAAATGAATGAGTGTATGTTTATAAGCATCATGACACAAATTTCACCTCATTTTGACTTAATTCGACTAACTTAGAGCAATATTAAAAAATCTCGTCCATGGGCGAGAATATTTACTTTTACTCAAAATACATGTTTTTCCATGTTTTGGAGGTTGCAAATGAATGAGTGTATACTTATGAGTATAATGAAACAAAATTCAACTCATATTGACTTAATTCAGCTAATTTAGAGCGATGTTAAAAAATCTGCATTATTTACGGTAACATGGATTAGCTAATAGGGCACTACCGGGAGACCCACATTCACACGATCACTCAACCATACCCATTGCCGGTTGAGCCAAACCATTTTCAACTCTTGTTTTCTTAAAAGTGGCATCAGGGATGCCAGTTATCTCCATTCCAATTTTCATAAAGTGAGAAAAAAGGAATGGAGATAACTGGCATCCCTGACGAACACCAAATAAACAATCAAAGTAGGATGTGCATCCATGTTGCAGTAATATACACAGTTTAAGTCCCTGCTACATACTATTACTTATTCTAAAGATCTTTCCTACCCATCCTCCATTATATATTTTAGATCCCCTCTCCATACCGAGTCAAACACTGCTGTCAAATCAATACATGCACAATACAGTCTTCCTTTGTGTAATATTTATTAATGATAGTGTTTAAAATACAGATGTCACCTAAAGTGTGGAAATCCTTCGAAATCCTACCTGTTCAAGTACAAGAACATTTTTTTTCATTTGCCTAATCATTTAATAGTTTACAGATAATTTAGAAAACATTTTACCAGAGACTTTGAGAAGTGTAATAGGTCTAGAATTTGATAGTTCATTGAAAGTACCTTTCTTATAATAACCCAAAGTGTCCTGTCCTTAGGATATATACCTGTATCTAATATCAAATTAAACAAATATTTTAACATTTCAATACGCATTGGGGGAGGTCTTGTAAGGAATCAATACTTATACCACTTGCACCTGGTGAAATTTCACATCTAAGTTTATTGTTAACATCAATTAATTCATCAGCTAACTCACCAGAGACAGAATTAGAAAAGTAAATAAAAATATTCGAGTAAAAACAAACTTCACAATCTGATATATGCACTGGTACCTTTGAAAACACACTCAAAATATGAATTCCATTGTTCTGGCGTAATAGTGTTTGAACATATTAACGTTTTTCGTAACCCATGTCCAGATCAACGTACTATTGTGTGGCAATAAGGCTTTATGTATTATCGCTGGAAGAACATATAAATAATTGGATTATTTTTTTGTAGAAAAGATCTTTGTCAAATGTATATGCTTGACAATACAAATGGGTGTCTTTGCTGTCATTAAAGTCTCAGTCTACGCCTTGCTTCATTCCTGGCACGTTTATATTCCGAATCGAACCAGTCATTGTACTTACTACAGTCACATAAAACATGAGTGTTTCCAGTAGATCTAAGTTTGCATACAGATTTTACGCACGTTTCGATGAGCCCTGAAATATATAGAGTTATATGCCCCTTGCACATCATCAGTGTTGATGCGCTCGTAAATATACAAAGATTTCACAAGGAATGACTTGATTCAACACATTTGCATCGTTTTGTTTTAGTTCGGGATTCCATACATATCTTTGTTTGGGTGTAAGATTATAGGGTGGCTTACTTGTTTGTCGATTATAAATGAATATTCTATAGGCATCTGCGTCCATTTTGGCTCTTCTCCCCCACGAAATCCTGCAAAGTATCTAAGCATACATTCATTACAAATGATAAAGCCATCAACACTTCCTTTCAAGCATGTGAATTTACCTGGATTATCGTCACATAGCCTGCCGTTGCCAATGTTATTACCTGAAGAATTACAGATCTGTAATTGTTGATGTCCTCCCGATGTTAAGACATCATCATTTGATACACGTTTTGGTGGATCATCCTGTACATCATCGTCTATTTGGAGTCATCGTCATCACCAACATAATCCTATTGTGAAACGTTACCAGTCCTGGCATTGAAATCTCCCTGAATAATAATAAGGCACTCTGGACATCTCTGTTTAAATGTTAACACATCAATTTTCAAGTTTTTCAAAGATTGACGTTTTTAGTATGAATGCTTGAACCGATTGGCGAGAAATAAACTGTACCAAGATAAAAAAAACTTTCTTGTAATATTAAAGCAGATTTTAATCCACATGATGTTATCTGAGTTCGTATTTATGTGTTCCACTTTTTTGATTACGTATTCGTTTATGAACTTGTGTATACCTTCGGAGTTTCGTACAGCACTGGGATGTTTATTCCTGAAACAGCTGAACTGTAAATGACACATTATGTTTCAATATATATTCCCAGATATGTTGCATATTCAGTTCCCTTTCAAATCCTCCAGTGTTCCAGAATACATATTTTACAGGTATAGCTCTATCAGCACTTCCTTGTGGTACATAACGATCAGGGCTTCGATCACACCCCTATCTCGTGTTGTCGGATTGGTTACCTGACAGGTTTCACGTTTCAAGGAGTCATTCATTTCATCAAAAGCATAATGTTTATCATCAATTTGAAGTGTATCCCTTCTTAAAACAACGAAGCTGTCTTCCTTTCGTGCTTTCTCCATGAGTTGCATTAAGGATTTTCTGATATTGCGAGTTTTCTGTGTATAATCTTGTGAAATACTAACTTTAAGTTTGCCCAGTTGTCTGAGAATCATGTTGTTATTTTTTTATTTCCCATCTTGGGTGAAGAGAATAGGTCGTGCTACGAGAGGTCTGGAGCGTAGGCGACGCACACTACAATAATTCCAACACTGACTTGATATACATGTCCTTTTCCAGTAGTTCACACTTTTTGTTCGATGTGCTCGTTGTGTTTGCTCGACGTTTCTGGAATGTGGTAGATGAGCAAGTGATTGCTTTTTGACTGTCTCTCAAGAACTTCAATCTTCGTACGCACTTTGTCCAGCGTCGCTTGAAGCATCACATTTTCTCACTCAAGAATTGTATTTCTTGTTCCAACTTAGTGATTTTTCAAGCCAGGTTTTGAAAGTTCGAATTCATCTCGAGCCGCATTGTTTTAATTTCCTTCATTATATCGTTTTCAGCAACAGTCAGATCACTATCAAGTGTAGTCTGTCTCTTTCTTGTTTTGATTCAGCGTCATTATTAGGAGAGACAAAAATAGACAAATTCAAATTGCCATGCTTGAACCTTTCAGTACGTGCATGGCTGCCTTGTTCGCCGCTCGTCTGCCCATAAAGATGATTACAAATTGCATTAAAACAGCCAATTCGTTCTCTGTATAGACTCATATCACAGCACATCTTGATTTAATGTTCATAAACGTTTTGTTACCTGTTTTCTGGGTTCATCATTGAAGTTAAATACATTTTGTAAAGTTTCTCCACCGAAGCAAGAATAAACCGGACTGCCACTCCACATGCGGCATGAACTTGAAAATACAGGAAAACGTGAAAAAGGGGGAAAACCCGTATGTGCTTTTGTCAATAGGGCTGAATACAAGAGAATACTTGTTTTGAATAGGATCCGGGTTTAACAATGAGTCTGGGACAATTGCACCCCACTAATCTTGATCTAGCTTGAGGAATAGATCAAAACATCACTTATATTCTTATGGCGAGTCACAGCTTACAAACTTACTGAAAAGCAAACAACCTTCTTTTAAGAACATATGCTGTTGGCCCGGATATCGCCATACTTGTGTGGATTTCAGGATTCTAAATTTCAGAAAGCTTTTCTGTCGAAACGCGAGAGAAATCGTAGAATGAACATTATTAATATGTTCAACTGAACAGGAAACATGATGTGTACACGCGTATAAATCGTGTAATAACATAACCTAACCTTCATAAAGCCTGAATGTATCCTGCATGGCGACCTGTTCATATTATGAATGAATATTGCTTTCCGATGTAAGCACACAGTAGGACTAAAAAGAATTTGTCCGTCTAAAGTTTAAATGAAAACCCTAAATTTACATTGGAATAACATTATCGGGATGGGTTCATGTAAGTCGAGGCTTGGATTATTTGTATGTTGATGGAAACATACTCATACTCATTTCTTGAAAACAATATGTGCAGTCATTACATCATTTAAGAAATGGTTCCAAATTTATTCAACGTGGTTCTACAAGCGTTGGAGAGCGTATCCAGAAGTTTCGCATTTTCAGTCATATCAAATCGTTATATCACTATACATGTACCGTCTATAATGCTCTCCAAAAACTTGAATTCTGGGTTAGATATTCAGCCCAAACAAAAGCCTTACTGATGTGATCCCAACAGGGCGTCCTCAGAGATTCACATAAAGTACAACGACTATAGATACAGTTTTTAAAACTTTATTCATTCCGTTATTTAAACCACAATAACCTTACTTGTATCCACATTAATTGTAAAAAAACCAGTACCACTAACTAAACCAGCTAAATAATCCCCCGAGAAAATCTCTTCTCCATCGTCTCTTTCGAATTTTATATAATGAATGTGCATACACTTTCACAGTTTCTAACATACTGTCAATGTCAGTGCATTGATCATGATGTCGTCCGCTTGAGGAACACGTGAGTCTTCGATTTAGAATTGGTCTTCAGTAACCCAAACTTGTCGTAAGAGGCGACTAACGGCATCGTGTGGTCAGGGTCACCGTATCCCAAGTGCGTAGATCGATGCTAATGCTGTTGATCACTGGATTATCTGGTCCAGACTCGATTATTTACAGATCGCCGCCACATAGCTGGACTATTGCTGAACGCGGTGTTAAACAACAAACACCAACAGTATGAAGACACATCAAAATCACGTTCTCTTGGCATTGACCAAGTCCTACAATGTACGTTGTTAGTAATCCAAGTGTGCACGTGGCAAGTGGTTGTTCTAATCGCCTATAGTCGTCTAATATGGCCTAATGCCAAAGTCTGTCTTTGCATCTAAAGGGACCCAATGCATATGGCTCATTCTAAGGGTTTCATTTTGCTCAAACGTAAACATCTATTTACCGAAGAAACTTTGGATTCAGACTGAGATGTTCCACATACAGAATCATTAGTTTGAATCATCTGTCTAAGAGTGCTATTCTACAGTGAAACATTCCCTTCAAAGCTAAGAATAATCCATGACTGACTAACTGCCACCATACTACCATGATACAATCATCATTACAAAGGTCCATGTAATATATACCCTGAAAAAAATCGGAACAATTGAGGAGAGACAACCTTCACGGTTACAATACAGACAACAAAGGATTAGTCCACATGACTCTTTCACTTTCTAAAGCACATAAGTGACATCATGGTGTGCACCATTTCTTTCACTGTGTCCTCTGCTGGGTGGAAATCCCGAGAAGTTTTAGCCATAGTCAAGTCCCAGAAATCTAGATAAACAATCTTGTGTTGCAGTGAAGCAAATGCCTCATGCCAAATGTTAGTGTACAGAAGACCCCAGTAGGATAACAAACCGTGCATAGGTCTGAAAAACGCATGTGGACCGCGAACTGCAAGTGTAACATTAGGAGCGCGTGCCAAGAGGTTCTTTGCTGATGGAACAAGTCTCTGAACATGTCGCCTGAACACATCCGGATGGACAAGCGTGAAATGAACGTACATATACAACACTACGATGTCCTTGGTTGTGTTCGGGAGACGGTCCATCATGACGTTCTGTCCCTGGTGTGTTGACCTGTCATAACGTCGAGCTCCATTATAGAACGGTAGTTCATGAGCGTGCCAGGAAATTGAAAAATTGTGTGTAACATCTGTGTCTGTAGTTGGTACATGCCCGTCCGTATGGGATGGAAAGTGTAAAATTGAATGAAGAGCACCTTTAAACTGACTACTGGTTGAATCCCCATGAAGCCAGAGCGTCCTTCCTTTCAAGCATCGTCTGTAGGCATCAGTGGTGCGGGGCAAAGTGTTAGTACACAACAGCGAATGCCATTTATTCTGGAGAAAGTAGCCATTTGGAGACGTACGTTGCCATGTCATTACCGTTGGTAACTTGTTGCAGGGAGTTCTAGGGGCCGGCAGTTCCATATCATTAGAAGCTGGTAAAGAAAAATGGTCTCAGGGTGAATTCAAATATGGATACATACATATATCTTCGTGCGTGTACTGTTGGTAATCAGAAGGATATACATACCCCAAAAGTGCCCCAGGACCTAATTACGCGTGGTGAAAATTGTTTGTCTGTAAGCAAGGTTGTGTGTAATGATGAGAAACAGATAGTAACAATTGTCGCATAGCCGCATACAAATCAGATCTTAGTTCTTGTTATCGGCAAACAATGACCAAAGCAATCGCTATTACTTTTCGCGAACTTTGACAGACCAATGAGAAGAAGTCCACAGTAGCCAGACTGAACGAACTTTCTCTATCAATACCGCACAAGTTCCACACTGACGACTTCCATTCCATACTTCACTTTGAGAGACATTTTGACAAAGTTTTCGATTCGAAATATGAAACCTGAACAAAGTAACATTTAGGAATGTATAGATGGCCGAATGTGTATAGCAGCACTTTCCCCGGTTTATGCAAAGGCTATACCATTGACATGTTGTTCAGGCAGATGATTAGACAATATTTATAATCTGAGGCACAGCCTGTAACTGTCGTTCGGAATAGCCAGTAATGACCCAGTTTAACGTTGTATGATTAGAAACAAGCTTGAAGGAGACGCTATGATTGGTCTTTTGATAAGTGAAATCAAGGTCAGACAACTGATTCAATTCTAATAATATCGTTTATCAAAGCAATATATGTGACCTTATTGTCTCTTTGACGCTAATCGTCCAGTGCAATCATCATTTTAACATCTCTTGTACTTTTGGCCTAGTGGTTAAAGCGTTAGCTTGTAATACTGAGGACACGTTTTCGATTCTAACCATGCACAACTCTCCAGTGTGTGACAGGCTGCATGCTTCCTGTCAACACTATGGGTGGACGATTTGTTAAGTGAGAAACAGTGTTGACAGGAAGGATGCAATCTATGGGTGGACGATTTGTCAAAGTGATACATTGCATCTTTACTGTCAACACTATGGGTGGATAATTTGCCCAGTGAGTGACAGATTGCATCCTTCCTGTCAACACTTTGGGAGGACGATTTGCTCAGTGAGTGACAGATTGCATCCTTCCTGTCAACACTATGGAAACACTATGGATGGTCGATTTGGCCAGTGAGTGACAGATTGCATCCTTCTTGTCAACACTATAGGTGGACGATTTGCCCAGTGAGTGACAGATTGCATCCTTACTGTCAACACTATGGGTGGACGATTTGTCCAGTGAGTGACAGGTTGCATCCTTCCTGTCAACACTACGGGCTTACACATACCTACCTCTTCTCACAGACACCTTCACTGAAGTCTGTAAAATATCGGGTTTTGGATCTATCACAGACCTGCAATTTAAACCAAGGACATTGAATAACTGAAATAAAGTTAAGTTGTGTAAAAGACAATCACATGTTTAACAAAATTTTATAGAATTATTAATGGTAGTACCTTTTCGAAAGTTACAAAAGATTATTCTCCTTCCTTTAACGATTTTTGGGTAATTTCGACCGTTTGTCATATTTGGTGTTTTGTGAAAACACAAAATGTCGTAGCCTTTGCACCTAACCAACACGCCATGTTATTAGAAAATCTGATCATCAGATACCCAACTATTTATTGTTTTAAAAATACATACAAACCAAGAATGTTCCTCTCTGTGTTATTAAGTGGAGCAGCAATTCTGTTTTCACTATATGAATGCGACCATCTATCACACGTTAACTGTTTGATTTTGGATTTCCTGCAGTAGTAACTGTATCCATTGTTCTCATTCGTGAAATTACACCATTCGTTCGTCTTTAAGGAATTTCCTTGGCTAATTGAGCACTTTGTTGAATCTTTGAGATTGTTTGCCCGAAATTCAGCAAAAATCGTCCAGAGACTGTAATGCTTTTGCAATATCATATAGTCAAGAACGATCTCCTCTCTTCTCGTAGCAATGAATGCCTTGATTGTTGCATTTCCTGGCCATACAGCTTTAAGCAGAGCAGTATAACTTCCATTATAGAGGTCCGCCACCCGACCGGAAACCGAAGCTGCTCTCTCTGGGTTCTCCATCCAAACTCTCAAGAAATCACCTCCCGTCATCTTGCGGTTACCAAGCATATCATACAGATCTATTTGCACTTCAACCTCATCTCCTAAATTGTAAACTTTGTGAGCGTGCTTTAGATATATGCGTGATTTGTTTGGATGAGCACACACCGAAGGCACAAAGATTGTTCCATAACGCATAACCTTCTCTGTGAGATATGTCACTCCTCTTTCGGGAAGGTAGACCCTGAAACCATACCAATTACGTACAAGTGGATCAGACATCGTGTAAAGCCGAGGATTAACATACCAGAAACATATGTTGTACATAAAACACATCAATTCCAGAGAATTAAAGGATCTTATTTACTGCCAAAGAAGGAACACATTTCACGAGTCAAACCTTTTGAAAAGCTTTACTTTTAACCTTGATTAACATATACTGAAAGGCAAAAGTTATTGTGACACTCAAACAACAACAGATTCAAAATTAAACTTTAAATGATGCAAATGCAATGTTATGAGATGGAAAGACAAGTGTTTAAAGTGACATATGCAAGTAAGCCACAACATAAGCGGATTCACAATCACATTCACATGTCTATGCCGAACATGCGCGTTGATACGGCCTGTCACCTTATGTGTCAACCTAGTCAGGGATCCTGACCACCTGATGCCTCTTACGACAAGTATGGGTTGCTAAAAATTCTAACCAGAATCTTTACGGGTGACAAACGTCGATGAAAGTCCTAGAGAAGATCATTCATTATTGGTAGAAGGATTTGGTGCTCCCACAGCATAGATGTCGCTCCAGATGCGTTCAGTAGGTGACAAATCAGGGCATCGTTCAGACCAGGGTAACACATTGCTCTGATTACGATATTGCTGTACAACTCGTGCAAATTGTGTTCTGGCGTTATCATCCCAGGGCGCAAAAAACGGTAAAGCGGCCATTTGCAAAATCTTGTCTTGGGTTCTCACAGCATTCACGTTTCCCTCAATTGCAGCTATTGATGTCTTTGCTGCAGTTGCACCTCTCCATCTGTCATTTTCCCCCGAGGCGTGGCATGATGCAGTTGTGAACTGATGTACAGAGGTGTTTGTATTACTGCTGCACCTATCATTGACTAGATATGATAAGCGTGATGTTGTCTCGCCTTCTTCTGTGAACATTCCTGGCCAATTGCATTTTCCCGAACATGTTCTGCTTTTTGCAGTTTTCGTGCAATTAGAACACCAACAACTGCTTGGTAGCGTTTCGTTGACCATTTTAACACGCTTTGTGTAAATAAAATAAATTCACAAGATAACCTATAAAAACATTACATATCCCAATGTGTTGCCATACAAGACATTAATGGCTAGCCTGTCCGTTGTCAACGAGGGTGATGGAGACGCCATTGATCCGCCACTACTGACTAAGTTCTGTCTAGGAGAAGAGGTTCTAGGTTTCCCGAAGCATACGGACATTATCGAGGCTTTGCGAATGATCACTTTTGAAACAACGTCACTGATTGCACAACTAAATCCAATTGCAAACAATCACGAATCCTGATCACTCTCACCATGTAAGGGCCGTATTAGATCAGAGGTACGTGGGAAGATATGACTTGAGTGACCGCTGTACAGCGAGAATGTTTAACTGTAACTGTAGATGTTGCAGACAAAACATTGTTTTCTGAATGTAAACATCAAGTCTTCTAATGTCTTTTTTAACAGTAAGGAATTCCCGCCATAAGTCAACTGTCAATTCATTGATCATATATGTATTTTCCGTGACCTGAACCCTGGAGGTGTTATATATAGAGAGAACGCCTTCATCAACATGAGATAAAGCTTTCTTACATAATTGGTTTAACTTTTTTATGTTATTACTTCCAGGTCATCTGCCCAGACTGTGCCAAATAGAAAACTTCATGCCTATGTTGAGACCGCCTTGATCTGCCCTTGCTTAAAGTCGGACAGTCTTTACACATTTCGTTTAGTTTTACCTTGTAGTCATTCGCGATAAAACATCACTGGTCAGTCTGCTGAATAACACAAAATCATATTTTTTGTTGAGTATGATTGCGATTTATTATACTATTCGTACCTCTTGAAACATTCTCGGTATCTGTCTCCTTTTTGTCAATAAGTCGTTGATAAGATTCTGGGTCAATGACAAACTTTACCAGCCAATGGGACCTCATTACTGAAATGTCCTCTGTTTTCCTGAATACTACATGTTCAATGCATCGAGTTAACAATGGTTAACCCCAGAAGAAAATGGATTTTCGTTGTTGTCATCAGTGTGTGAAACACCAACAACATAACAACCACCTTGTTTCCTCGTTCAGTTCATCCCATACCCAGGATGATTCATTACTACAGTAGGTTTCTGAATACCTCTAACACTCGTTGACCCGTGGAGATCCGGGGTAGAATAGGTCTTCAGCAACCCATCAGGTCAGGCTCGCTGACTTGGTTGACACATGTCATCGGGTTCCCAATTACGCAGATCGATGCTCATGCTGTTGATCACTTGATTGTCTTGTCCAGACTCGATTATTTACAGACCGCCGCCATATAGCTGGGATATTGCTGAGTGCGGCGTAAACCTTAGTGAATGAGTGAGTTAATATTTAACGTCACATCGGCAATATCGCAGCCATATCGTGACGATTACAATTTATACAATAAAAAGTGACATGAGAACATTTGACATTGAAATGGAATATATGTACGTTATAAAAACCTGTCGACGAAGGACAGTAAAACAACTAGAATATCACAAGTACAAATAAAACTAGTATGGAGAGTTGAAACTGATAGCACTATTTGGACAATACAATATAAAAACAAGCTATAGATCGCCAACACCAGAAGGTAGATCACCATACCAGGGACCATGGGGACTTACAGTGCCTTGGCTACCTGCATGGACCCTTGTTGGATTAACACCATCCCTTCAGCTGCTGGCGATTGTAAGAAATGTTAGCCAAAATTAAAATGACAAGAATGCTACGTTTAAAAATCCTGGCAAGTTTAAATTGACTTTGAACATTTTGGGGCTTACGTACCCTCTCAGGAGGACAATAATTTTACACTACTTCAACCCCCTTTGAGGGTACAGCCACTAACAATCTCAGTTACTAATCTAAACTACCAATAATAAAATATGTATCTATTTACAAATCAGTTAACAAGTTTAATTTTTTAAAAACGCAATGATTAAATGAGGACTTATATTACTAAAAAGATCCTTCATAGTTTGTGATTTGAAATAGATATCCCTTGTGATGGAATATTCAACACAGTCAAGCAGGACATGCTTGACCGTGATTCTTTCATCACAGGGGATACAAAACGGAGGATCCTCACCTTTTAATAGGTACTCATGAGTATATCTTGTGTGGCCAATACGACATCGTCGTATGATGACCTCTTCAAATCTGGACTGACAACCCAAGTAGGTGTAACCGATAGTTGGTTTTATTGCATGTAATTTATTGATACCTACTTGGATGTCCCACTTCTTTTGCATCAGATCACGGATATAAGATCTTATAGCAGCTTTGTAATCAGAGTATGGGATCAGAAGTGGTGTCACAGATTTGTTGAGTGCTGCCTTAGCAGCAAGATCGGCCATTGTGTTACCAGAAATGCCAACGTGGCTTGGTAACCAACAAAAGACGATGTCGCATTGGCCAGTAGCAAGCTCATTATACAATTCAATAATTTCTAATGAAAGTGGATTTTTACAAGAAAGATTTTTAATAGCTTGAAGACACGAAAGAGAATCGGAAAATATTATGTATTGTTTATATTTACGGTGTTTACTAATTTACTTAAGGGCTGTTAATATGGCGTTAGCTTCTGCTGTGAAAATAGAGCTGTGATTTGGTAGTCGAGAAGATATTGTTCTGGATCCAATGACAGTGGCATATGCCACCGCTCCACCATCCTTGGACCCATCTGTAAATAAGGATTTGTATGTATTATATTTATTTTTTAATTGATTATATTCTTGTTTATATTGTAATTCATTAGTTACAGATTTCTTAAACTTTGTCAGAGTTAGGTCAACTTCAGGCCTCACCAGTTGCCAAGGAGGAGAAGAAAGAAGACGGGAAGGAGATATATTTTCTAGCTCAATGCCGGCAGCAGAAATGAATTGTTTAATTCTCAAACCAAGAGGCAGTACAAGCGAAGGCTTTTTGTTGTACAGATCCTCATAAAGAGAATTAAAAACACAGTTAAATGCAGGATTTGACTTATTAGAATATAGTTTTGTTACATACGGCGTTGTGTAAGAGATGGCTCATCGGCCTCGACGTAGAGACTGTCAACTGGGGAAGTTCTAAATGATCCAAGACAAGGTCTGAGACCTTGGTGGTGAACAGAATCAAGTAGTTTAAGGTTGCTTTTGCAGGCTCCGCCATATACGATCGAGCCGTAATCAAGTTTAGATCGCACCAATGATCTACAGAAGTAAAGGAGGGTAGTTTGATCCCCTCCCCACTTTGAATTGGGGACACCTTTTAACAAATCGACTGCCTTCAGGCATTTAGCTTTAAGGGATTTAATATGTGGCAGGAATGTTAAATGGGAATTGAAAATTAGGCCCAAGAATTTGGCCTCCTTTACAACCTTGATGGGAGTGCCATTTAAAGATAGTTCTGGGTCCATATGAGGCTTATATTTACGGCGGAAATGTATTCAATTAGTTTTTGATTTAGAAAATTTAAAGCCGTTTTTAAGACACCATTTATTTATTTTGTTTAAACACAACTTCAGTTGCCGTTCAATAGTATGCATATTTTTACCACAACAAGAAATATTGAAATCATCCACAAATAATGATCCATCAATTGAATCATTTAAAACCTTTGATAAACTATTGATCTTGATGCTAAACAGTGTGACAGACAAAACACTGCCTTGTGGGACACCCTGATCCTGATTATAATGATCAGACAGGGTTGAACCCACTCGGACTTGAAAATGCCTGTCTTTTAAAAACTGTGATATAAAAAGAGGCAAACGGCCTCTCAAACCAAAATCATGTAAATCCTTCAAAATGCCATGCTTCCAGGTCGTATCATAAGCTTTCTCAAGATCAAAGAATATTGATACAGCATGTTGTTTATTTACTATAGCATTTTTAACAAAGGACTCTAAACGTACGAAATGATAAATGGTACTACGATTTTTCCTGAAACCACATTGAATATTTGTTATAAGGTTATTGGTTTCAAGATACCAAGT